GCGACAGAGAGCGCTGTTGCGACAGGACCGGGCCGCTCAACTTTCTCTGCTGGGGCTGTCGCTGCTGGACGCCCAAAGGGGGCCGGGAGGTCATCGCTGGAGGAGGAGCGGATGCGCCATTCCGCAGGTCGTCAGTTGGGGGTGAAGGGGGATACGGGAAGCGGTCGCGATCGGGGTCCAGTTGGAGTCGAGTGGACGTTGTCTCGGTCGAGGAAGGGTTGAGGACGGATTTCAAGAAACTGGTCGTTTGAGATGTGCAAAGGCGCAAGAGCCGGTCTGGTGTCTGGATGCTGTCTGGGATCTGGAACTGGAGATTGGCCCCAAGTCCAGTTCGCTGGTTAGCCCCGTTAGATTAGCGATAGCGCGGCGTATGGAGATGCGGTGCGTGGCACTATCAATATCCGGCGGATGGATACCAAGCTAGATCCCCAGCTGGATCCCACGATGGACACGGGGTCCGGATTACCGGGTGACGGGGGGGTATATGGTCAGGTTAGGTCGGGTAATGCTTTCGTAAGGTCGTACTAACATAGGTATCCCCGAGTCCACCACAGCACAACGCTGTGATGTACACCAAAGAGTTAGAGTCCCTGGCCGAGTCTGGACCAGCGAGTGTCCGGCCGCCGACAGGAAACTCCCGGCCAAACTTTGTTAGACACCGACACAGAAGCCACGCTCGGTCAAACAGCATAGGTAGCTGACACAGCGCCGTCCCGGTAAAGTACCGAACGTGTTTCCCGTTTTGTCAAAGGGAAGGCAAGGAGAGGGTCATGCCCCAGTCAAGAGACCCTGCCTTTACTGGATGAAGACCCCCCACACGGCCAGACTAGCAAACAGAATTGGCAAGTGTCAGGGCTGAAGATACACCGGCATAACGATGTGATATTTGACACGAATACATTTGTACCGTTCTACTGAGTGTACGGACGTAGGCACGCTCCAGTTCGATTGTAATGCGGCCCGGGAGCCTGACATGACCTTGTCAGGGCAACCCGGCAGCGATAGCTGTCATATGGACGATGTGAACCATGGGTGAGAGGTGGTGATGCCATTGATACCTTGGGGGTACCTATACATAGACAGATGGGGTAGGAGCCACGATAAGAACGTGATGTTGGGGTCCATCGAATACATATCGAATCTCCATGGCAGAGGCTGGGGTCTCGACACAGGGGGCAACGACAACCCAACAACTTGCAGTGCGGCGTGAGCCATTGAAACCTGCTGCTTCACAACCCAGAGACATCTACACCTCATCTTCCGGGAATGCGCCCTGTGAGATCCGCAGGGCCAGGGCTATGGATTGGTGGATGGACAGACTGTGGAGGCAAATAAAGCGACAAGGCGGTTTTCTATGTTTCCGAACGGGATCGATGCCATGTCGCTTGGTTTTTCTGTCTTTTGAGTCTGCGTTTGTGAGTGGGTGGCCTGTCGTCGATGCAACCCAACCGGAACTCGTTGTCAGAACCACGCAACGAGGTGCATGCCGGAATGATATCCAAAAGGTCCGATCTGCCCCTCTCTCAGCAACTCGATGAAAAGGTGATGAAAAGAGAGGGTCAAGTTGCGTAGCCGATACTGCGTTGTCTTGTCTAGGTCCTTCGAAATGTCTCGAGACCAACAAGAGGTGAGTTAGATGATCCTTGATTGCCACAAACAGCAATGCAGCAAAAGAACGATACGATACGATACGTTTGACAAGAAAACGACGAGACGAAAGGCGGTCGTACAGAGCTCGATCGAAGGTTGTCGTGACACCTCAGCTGTAGGGATGGCGTAAAAAAGTGAACAAGTGGTGCTCAGTCGTTGTGCTCCTACCCGAGACGCTCCCCCCCAGCGGCATTGCTTACCGGGCTGCCTGCCTCATGCCGCAGGGCCAGATGGCAACCACTGACAAACTGTACAGACCGACGGGTCCGAGCTTTGTTGAAGCTTCCCGGCATTCAACCCGACCATCATCATTATCTTCAACAACATCCTGCTTCCGACACTTGCACCATGTCAACTGTAAGCCATGCGTCGTTGCATGCAGAATCCTTCGAAACCCCGTTGGGAAGCGTCGGTACCGTAGAAACTCGCCAAACTGGCAAAAGGCTAATCCCCAATGAAACCCCTCTATATGCCACATAGTGCTGGCAGAACTGTAGCGCTCAAGTCCGAGCCTTTGCTTTGGAAGGGTTTTGCCAATTTGGCGAGATTCTACGGTATTCTTGCGACTTGGTAGTTTATCCAACACGGCTCCTTCACCCTTTGGTTGAGTTTGAATCATTCACGGTAGTGAAGAACACTTAATCCCATCACATACCAGTTCCACCTCACGCCGCTTTTTGCAGATTCGCTCCCCACCCTTGCCCTCTCTTCTTGACTCTTGCCAAACCGTCGCAACAGCCGCCTCAAGCGCCTCAACCGCCTCAACCGTCTTTACCCCTCTAGCATGATTTCTGTGGCAGTAGTAGGCCTCGGAGGACAAACGGGAGCCGAAATTGTAGGCCACGGGCTTACAATCCGGCACACCCCCGTCATACGCCGTCTGTCCACAGCTATCCACGTAGTCCAGGCACACGGTCCTCGTCGAGCAGTTATCCTTCGTCCCGAAGTTGGTACCTTTGGTGATGGCGACGATCTGGGTGATAGTTGGTATGACGGGCGGAGGCGTGTCGCTGTAGGTGATGGTTGCGATGGTGGCCACTGTTACAGTCTTTGAATTGAGGTTTAGTGGGAGTATGAGATGGGCGGCTTTGAAGGAGGAGGAGCAGGAGGGCAGGTTGGGGCTCGGGGGCGAGTTTCGGGGTTACATTGGTCGTGGCAGCTGCTAAGGTGGTTGAGTGGTGTGTTAGTTCGAAAAGATGAAGGGACAAGAGTCTGTAGGTGAAGCAGAAGACTCACCCTGAATACATCACGCCATAGGGGTTGACAGCGTCGAAACACAACATGTGTGGTGAGTGGCATTCCTCTGCTATGGGGGCCGCGCTGCTGAGTCTTCCTCGTGAGAGAAGGAGTGATAGGGAAATTATAGACAGTTGCATGTTTGGTGCGGCAAACACGGATTTTAGGTGAGGAAGAGGAACATGAGGAGGTGTGTGAAATCTCACCGTGTTACTCTCAACAATGAGAAGTTGCATCAGACTGTCATATTTTATCCTTCTCGGCGACTGGTTGCTTCCAAACCCCGGACACGTTCTCGGTTCACTTCTGGCCGAGTACTCGTCAGGTCTAAAACCAAGAGCCCCCAAGAGTCAGAGGCGTTTGAGCCCTGACGAGTAGAAAGTTCAAGCGCATGTTTATCGCTTACCGAGGAGGAGACAATGCGAAGTACGGATTTTCCTCTGGAATACTGCTACTCACCGGCGCGCCACATTATCTACCTGATGCCTACTTTGAGTTTTGGTCTGCGAACTAAACCCAAGCTTCAAGGATCTAGTGAAGAGGCACTGTTTAGAATGTTCTATTTCTATCGACAACGGTGCAGCCAGGATTTGAATATTGGTGATCCAGATTGCGCTGATTTATCCGGCGCTCAATGACCCACGAGTCACACAACATCCGCAATGTTTTGGCTATATACCATGACGGCAGCCAAGATGGTACAGTAAATGGTTCAGTAAGAATGAGGTACGAAATCGGCCAGTGTCTAAATCCATGAACATTTCCTGAACTGGGAAAGAGGGAGAGTGTCTCCGTATGGCTGACTTGGTAGATATGGTTACACAAAACCAAGCAAGCAGGATCATGTAATCAATGTGAAATAAGTGAGGATCTATGCCGACTTCGGGGTTGCAAACTTGATGGCATAAAATATTCTCGATCTTAGGACGGACACAGACGATCCTTGACAATAACACTCGACTACACTGGAACTTTCCGTATCAACAAGTGGCACAATTGTAAATGATAAAAAGGCGCTGTATGGTGAAGATTTATACCCAAAAAGTTAAGAGCGAATGGTAAGCATCGAACCTTTATCCTACCAACATTTTATCTTAACTTTTTTTTTTTTTTTTTTTTTTTTGTGGAAAGTTTGGGAGATTAATCCATGAAAAACTGTCGAACTCATGCTATATACACAACAATGATGGGCTTATAGAGTGTTCTTGGCCTTCTGCCGATCATATAATCATAACCGGGTTTAAGTCGAATGCGGTGGTGTTGATATAGTCGTGATTATTCCAGAACCGATGGAAGCCACTTGTCCCTTCTGGTCACCCCACGGGGAAATCATGTCACAACTCGTGTTGTGACGTTTGGTTGCAGATAATTTAACTTCTAACAAGAGACAAACCTAATGCGTATTAGGTACTTCCTCTCGGAACCCTACATCGGTAAATATCAGGTGGAATTGCTGCGGACAACGAGGAACGGCATAACTATGTGCAAACCTAGAACCGTCAATGGCAGATGTTTAGACATCGGGACCTGAGTCGCATTTAATCGGCTCGTATGGACATGGCTTACCTTATACGGGGCCCAAGAAGCTGGGCAATGAGTGTACTGACGGATCGTCGTGAGAATACTCCCAAAGAGATATCTCGTACAATAATGCCTCCGAATTCTTCATTGCCCCTTTGGTGTTACTTGCATCTGGATGGCAGGGAAAATGGTAACGGCAGAATCAAAGCGATATCGCCCCGAATGTTGAATCGTTAAACTGATGCCATTTGGGCAATATCGCCGAGGCCAAGGTGACTTGACCGCAACACATCACGTCGGAAGATGGAAAAAATCTACATGGAAGAGATGAAGCTATACATGTCGGCAATTTTGAGTCAAAATATATCCAGAGTGTGATGATGTGCCCAAGATGGAGAAGTGACGGAGTGAAGTCGTGAAGTTATGAGCCGCAAAAGCAAGAGCAACAAGGACAAATACATCATTATACCTACTGAAGACTCGCGGCACTCAGTTGCATATAACCTCAAAACCCCCCCTTCGAACTCTCTTCACATCTCGTTCATAGACATCGCCCTCATCAGTATTCATTCTTGACCACATCCTCCTCAATTCAACCACTCAGTCTATTAGAACTCTTAACCAACACTGAACCATCACAATGAAGTGGCAGACACTCGTCTTTAACCTCCTCAGCTCTATCACCCTCGCGACTCCAGTATACGTGGAGCCCTCAGCTCCCTCTCCTGTTTACACCCTTCGTATTTCCGGGTACGTCAAATTCCACAATTCACACCTCGCACCTCACACCTCGCACCTCATACCTCGCTCCCCCTTGGAAGTATCTCTTGACCCCAACCTTATTTTTACCTCAACTAACACTCCACCCTCCACCCCTTCCAGCGGCGGCCCAGACCTAGACGCCCACTATCTCAGCGCCTCCGGCTCCGTCATCGGGGTCTTCCCCGACACAGACAACAATCCCATCAAGTTCTACGCCGTACCCAACAAAGACACCGGGCTCGTCGAGCTGCACAACTGGGCCGGCATTCCTTCCCCCGGCTCGCCTAACACCTCAAAGACCAAAGCGATCGCTTTGGTGGGCAATGCCCGCACGGGATTGATGGACCTGACAAGCGTGGAGGATCCGGCGGTCATCTGTGGTGACAGCAATGGCCTCGACTGCGAGTGGACGAGCTTTACGCTTAACCAAGGCGCGCCGATCGAGGGTAGGCCGGCCAACACTGTGACTTATGCGGGGCCGGGCGGGTGGGTGGCGTTTAAGAGTTCGAAGGCGGAAAGGGGTGGGTGGGTTGTTAGGTGGAAGTATCGTAAGTCATATTTCGAAATGTGTTGATTTTGTGAGAGGTGTGTAGTTGCTGACGATGAGATGAAACGAGCAGCCCAGGCTACCACCACTCAGGACTTTGTGCCGGTTGATCTTGTGTATGAACCCATCTTCACCATTGCGGATACGGCGGAGTAATGAACCTCGTACGGGAACCCGAAGCGGTGATGATACTGAAGATAGTTGGAAGTGAGGCCGGATGTGCCGGTAATTGCTGCGAGAGGTTACCGCGGTGATGGAGATAAAGATCCAATGCGTTATTCAGTGCTTGCCGTTCTCATCCATCTATCCCTAATACCCGAAATTTTTGTCAAGTGTTAGCGCAGGTGTGAATCTAAAAGAGATAGAGAAACACCAAAACGGGTTGTCTGAAGCTTTTGGTTGCAAATGCAGTTGTGTGTTCGCTATTTTGACGCCTGATTAATTCAACATATACCTCATCCAAAATAAAGCCTCTAGCCAGTGCTTCCAATGCCGCATTGCTCTGGCTATCGGATAGGGCCCCCAAAGGATATAGAAAAAGGTGTATTTGACAAAAAAAAAACCAATTTCGTATTGCTGTTACTGTGACAATAGTAAACTCCAGCCATGCACAAGACAGGGTACAGGTTCGTTACATGTACCGTGCCCGGATCTTCCCGAGCCACCCGCCACCATTCTCGCTAGTCAAGAGCAAGTTTCCCGCCACATCCGCGCGGTGCTCTCTCCTCGACGTATTCGCTTTTCTGATCCGCCCAGAGTAAATCGCATTGTCGTAGTTGACGCAATTAGAAGGCAAGCTCCTTCTTGATGTTGGCAATGGCGAGACCGGGGTTGAGACCCTTGGGGCAGGTGCGGGTGCAGTTGAGAATGGTGTGGCAGCGGTACAAGCTCATGGAGTTGTTGAGGGCGTCCTTGCGCTCGGCGGTGCGCTCGTCACGGGAATCGGCGAGCCAGCGGTAAGACTGGAGGAGGATAGCGGGGCCGAGGTACTCCTCGGAGTTCCACCAGTAGGAGGGGCACGAGGTAGAGCAGCAGGCGCAAAGAATGCACTCGTAGAGGCCATCAAGCTTCTTGCGGTCGGCCTTGGACTGGCGATACTCCTTGCCCTACACGTGATGACGTAGGTTAGCATCGATCTGTGCGCGCAGCTTTCTATGAACGCGTATCCACTTACATCAGGGGAGGGAGTGTCCCTCTGGAGGTAGGGCTTGATGGACTTGTACTGCTTGTAGAAGAGGGTAAGATCGGGGACGAGATCCTTGACGACGTAGGTGTGAGGAAGGGGGTAGATCTTCATCTCAGCGCTGTTGTCGGCGGGAATGCGGCCTGTGGTTTGGAAAAGTAAGCATTCCGTCCGCCCCGAGAGACATATATCTTTGTGGATGCTGCGACATGGACATACACAAGCAGGCGAGGGTGTTGGTGCCGTTGATGTTCATGGCGCAGGAACCGCAGATACCCTCACGGCACGAGCGGCGGAAGGTAAGGGTAGGGTCGAGCTCATTCTTGATGCGGACAAGGGCGTCGAGCACCATGGGACCGGTCTTGTTGAGGTCGAGGGTGTAGCTCTGCATGCGCGGCTTCTCGGTCGGGGTGTCGGGGTTCCAGCGATAGATCTGGAAGGTCTTGAGCTTGGGGCTCTGCTCCGAAGAGGCCTGCTGGCTCTGGGTAGCACCGTCGGCAAGGTTGGCCATGCCGCGGGCGGCGAGGACGGGGCGGAAGGCCGGCCGGGAGGCAGCGGCGAAGACACGGGCGGACGAAGAGCGGAGAGCGGCCATTTTGATGGCGATGTGCGATACTGAGAGACGAGACGGAGACGAGACGAGGATGCGGAAAAGCAAGCAAGGGAAGCCGCTTGGCGGATGAGGTGAATGCCAGACTACGTTTAAAATAACCGGAACCGGGTTCACAGGCGGAGCGAGTGAGAGATGTAGCAGTGAGGTGGACGGAGATGCCTTCTACTGTGAGTGGCGCATCCGGGCGGGTTTGGCTGGACCCCCCGGGCCGTCATGACTTTCTTTCAACCGCCTTGTGTTTCCCGGAACACCTCGGTAGACATCAGCCAATCAGCGCCCACTTATTCTTCAGCGTCCCGACTTCCGACCGTGGGGAATGCCCACTAGCCATGCTATCCGGACAGTGTATAGCTGTGAACAGCATATCCCATCCCTGAGTGTCGCTCATTCTATCTGATTTTCCAGAACCACTGGCTCGTCTGCCACGCTATTTGTGAACATTACAGAGTGGATGAAAGTCATATCTGTATGGAGCTTGGTACTAACCATTACAAGTACAATACATACGCCAAACATCCGGATCCCTGGATTTGTTGCTACTACCTGTTCACATGTGTCAGAGCGTTTCACCCATTCGAATGGAGAATGTCCCAACTTCCTTCTACAGCGCGGTGTCGTGATTGCGCGGGAGTCACGGCACGTCCAGCTTGGTAAGAAGTTGCTATAGGCTTATAGCCGCTAGCGCGCTGATACCTCCAGTTTCCTGCACTGTTAACCCCAACCCTCTCCCTGCACCACATCGCTATCCGCCATGTCTGGCCAGGTCCACTTCACACATCGGATTGACGGTGCGTTCCCGTCGTCACTGCAGTCTTCCCGCTTGCTTTTGCCGGCGATTCCTGTTGTGTGTTGATTGCCCGCAGACACTATCATGATTTACAGACACCTCTCCTTTCTCTAACCTCTCTCTCGACACAGCGGGCCCACGGGGGCTTCGCAAAGAACCAAGCCTACAGCGTTATCTACTATTGATCCACGATCTCCTTCATTGACAACCACCAGGGGCATACCAATCACGTCTTTCCATCGCCTGTTCCCCCTGGCCGATTGAAAGAGTTTCCACCACACCCAACCCCCTCCGCAGCCTGGGCAATTGACCGTCCGACCAAGCAATGGCGTCCCTTAGCGCTCTCCGCATGCTGTCGGCCCCATGTCATACAGCCCGCCTGCGGCTGGCGAGGTCCTCGACCCTGATCATCAGCCCTACCTCCAGCAGCGCGTCGTACCCCTTCAGCCATATCACTAACTATAACCGACCCGCCGTCGACGGCATGCGATATCTGAGCACATTACCTCCGAGAGTGGGACGACGGATTGTCCACCAGCTCATGACACAAGCTCCATACTCGACGGCCGCCGAGCAGCCTGCCTCCGGATCCGGTACCAAGTTCGTCTACAACATCGCCGCCTCGTACGTCGGCAAGGGCCTCCCCTTCAACCCGTCCACCCACGTCTTCCACTTCAACCCCTACCACCGAGTGTCGAAGCCCGGCAAGAAGGCAAAGTCGGCGCGCCCAGAGTCCGGCCAGGATGCCTTCTTCGTTAGCCGCGTAGGGAACAGGCCCGGCGAGGTTGCGCTGGGCGTAGCCGATGGTGTGGGCGGCTGGATGGACAGCGGTGTCGACCCTGCGGACTTTTCGCATGCCTTCTGCGACTATATGGCGGCTGCTGCATACGAAAACGACAGGCAGCCCACCAAGATTGCATCAGCGGCGGCTAACGGACCAGCGGCGCCTGCTGGTGGTGAAGGGAACATCAGTGATAACGCTCCGTTAACGGCACGCTCGCTGATGCAAAAGGGATACGAGGCTGTTTGCCATGACCCGACTATCAAGGCTGGTGGCAGCACGGCTGTGGTTGGCATGTTGGATGAGAGCGGCACGATGGAGGTTGCGAACCTTGGCGACAGCGGCTTCGTAATACTCCGGCTCAACGGGGTGCACACCGCCAGTGAACCCCAGACACACGCATTTAACACCCCCTTTCAACTCAGCGTGGTTCCGCCTAGTATGTTGCTCCGCGCTGCGACCTTTGGCGGGGGACTGCTTATCGATCAGCCCCGCGACGCCGATGTGACCCGCCACAAGCTGAAGCATGGAGATGTTGTCGTCTTTGGAAGTGATGGTCTTTGGGACAACCTGTTCAACCAGGACATTCTCCGTCTGGTCAGCAGCACAATGCAGAAGCTCGGCGCTTGGAAGGGCACCGACGCTGGGGTCCAAGTCGCCGAGGACCTGACTCCCTTCACCAAGCTCGACAGCGACGACAAGCCCATTTTCACGCTGCAGAGCTTCATTGCCACGCATATTGTCAGCGCCGCCAAATCGGCGAGCATGAACGCGAAGTTGGACGGCCCGTTCGCCAAGGAGGTCAAGAAGTACTACCCCCAGGACGCGTGGCACGGCGGCAAGGAGGACGATATTTGTGTGGTCGTCGTACTTGTTTCCGAGGAACCGGCGGACATGGCGACGCCGAAGCCACGCCTCTAGAATGGATGGATGTTTAGGGAATACAGGACAACATCAGAAATCCTTTGCGCAAAGCGACATAGAAAGGGGATAAACAAATATCTTTTTTATTGGCAGCATCCGGGATGGAGAGCGCATTGTATTCTGAAATCGCAACGACCAATTTAGGGATCTTCATATTACATATCACACGTTTTTCTTGCATATCATATCCTCAACAACGCAAAACATATCTTTATGGAGCATTATCAGCGGCGTTCAAATGTCTCTTCCATCGACGGCTATTGTCTCATAGACAAAACTGGTATCAACACAAAGAAGCGCAAAAGTATGGCACTGGATTGATGAAAGCATCCAGATGTTGTCGGATGTCGAGATATAAAAAAAGAAATCATATATGTTGACACAATATTGTGAATCTTGCCTCGTCGGCGACGCTGCTCACCCTTAACCATCGTTATGAAGTGCCTCATCACCCCGCCTCATCATAATCCTAACCCTTAAAACTCGCAAACCTGATTGAACTCTCCCCTGAAAGACCGCTCCCGTTCTATCCCATGTCAGCCCCGCAAGGTTGAAATGGAGATATCTCTGATACATCTCCCGACCGCCCCAGGCCTATGTTGTCACGGTGTTCTTCAACCCGCTTCCCTGTGGTTTCAGCCTTCCCTTCCCTTCCTCCCTTCCTATGAAAAACCGCAAACAAATCATCACCACACCCGGGTCCTGTACCGAAGTCATCGTTAATCCTGTGTTCTAGAGACCCATCTCGACCCGATCTGACATCGGCAGAAGAAGAAGAAAAAGGAAGACCCAACAACCAATGGTCAAAGCAGCATAGGTAACACTCAGCTCACGGGCCCCCGACGGCATAATGGTGGCGCCGGGGCATGTAAGAAGGGAGCCCACAGGATCACTGCAGTGGCAGAAAGTCACAGGTCTCGCTGCACGACACCGAGGAATGAACTAACCAATGTTTGCGTACGTACGCCTTCCCTTCCCTTCCCTTTCTTTCTACCCTCTATACTTTCTCCGACGTGATTGGGAAGCAAGAAGATAGCAAGGTAAGAAGCGATAGGGCCGACAACATGGACCACGCCTCATGGCTCATGGCTCACGGCAACACAGTCCTTGGCACTATCCCCTGCGTTACGCACGCAGCATGCAGGTAGCCGTTGGCCGTTGAGAGTTTCCATTGTATCATGCCCACTTCTGCCTGGCTGCCATTTGGGGCCCTTGATCCTATCAAATATCCAAACAAACTCCCAGAACCCCGTCTCTGTGACGTCTTTCATGCCGGCATTTGATCTTGTGGGGACAGGTCCCTGCATCATCTCCCTGCATCTTGGGTGTTCCACCCAACCGCACCACAACTCCCAAGTGATCTGGTGAATCCCCTGGAGAAATCTGGGGTAATGTGGGTCGTTGTGATTGAAATATGTATGGAAAGTTGAAGCTGGGGAATGTGAATTTGACCGGGCACCAAATGGTGCGGTTACAAGAACAACAATAACACCAGGCAGGTACGTAAAGGGATATTAATGGTTATGTTTGAACAAACTGGCGACTTCAATTGCTTACGCCGTGGGTTGGTCGCCCAGAGCCCAACCCGTGGGATTCATCCACAAGAGGTGGTAAGACTCATCAATGATAGGCCTAGTAAAAGAAATTATGCATTAAGCAGCTTCATCATCCATCATCGGGGTATTACAGTCCATAGCCACACTTTTGCCGCAATAGCTCTCCACCCGCTCATATCCATCCTTTCATTAAGCCATCACAAAGCGCCCAGATTTTCCGTCAGTAAACTACCAAGCCAACTCCAAGAATATGATTATCTCCAAATTTCCAAAAGCGAACTTTGGAAGGTATTCAGTCGTTTGGAGCAGCTGAGGCGTTGAAGCTCAGTTATAAACAGGTTGCTCCGACAAGAAAGAAGAAATTATGTACGAGAACCACATCAAAAAGTGTTGTGGTTCCCTTCGTTTACATAATTGTAGGCTTCCTAGTTAAAGAAGACGAGGGCGGCGACGGTTCCGAGGATGAGCGCTAGAGGAGAAGCGAAACGCTCAGCATTGTTGGTGTTGGGGGGGCTGTTGGTAGGGGCAGAAGCGGTAGAACTAGCGGCATGGGTGCTGCTGGTGGTGGTGGTGGTGGTGGTGGCAGCGGAAGAAGCTGATAATAAATGTTAGTATGAGTACATGTTGTAAAATTTATGATCAAGTTGATCGTGTCACGACATGCAACTTACCGACAGAGGTGACGGTGCTGCTAGCATCAGTGCTGGAGGCAGCGGAGCTTGATACAATGGTGCTCGACTCAACAGTGGAGGAGACCATGGTCGAGGTGCTGGTCTTGGTGACAGTGCTCAGGGTGCTCGAAGCGCCGGTAGTGGCCGCGGCACTGCCAACATAGGGAAAGCGGACACTGTAGTTCTCGTCCGCCTTGGAGTCACCATCGGCGATCTTGAAGGCATAAGTGCCGGAAGGAACATCCTCAGGAGTCCAGGTGTACGAGTCACCGGTGACGCCGGCTTTTAATTTGTCAGCAACTTGCGGCTCCTTCGAGAGATGCTATCAGGTTCAAAACTTACAAGCAATAGTCTTGAAGGGAGTCATATGATCCGCATTAGGGCCAGTCATCAAGGTGATGGTGATGGGAGCAGTGGCATCCTTCCACTTAAGGGTATAATCGACGCCCTCTTGGATGTTGAAGTCAGTGTTGGTGATGGCGGGCTTAGCGAGAGCGTAAGCCACGAAGGCGCTAACGGCAGCGAGAGAGAACTTCATTTTGGCGACGTTGACGAAAGGTTACGGCCGTATCGAGTAGTACGAGACTGTTGACAGAAGAGAAATGACGAGCAACTAAAGTGAAAGAAAAAGACGCGGTCAGTCGGGGTGCTCATGATATAAACTTGTGACAGCGGCCCCCAGCCTCCCAAGTGGAAGCGAATCACATCGGAATCTCACTCCGGGTCTCTTCCGCTTTTCGTTCTTCATCTGAGGACCATCGACATCCTGGAGCAGGCGCGGGCGCGCGGAAATCGGTGGAGCGGTGGACGATGGATCGTGTGGATCGGCGACCGGGTCGCTAGTCTGGGGGTTGGGTATGGGGATGTTCGCCTACGTACCCGATGGAGATTACTAGAATACTCTGAGTGTAGTTGTGAGTGTGGTGAAGAGCTTTCGATTGTGAATGGCGCAGTAGTGAGCGTGGAAAAGACAGGAATCAAATTAGGTGGACGATATAGGTAGCGATTGTACTGGTTTGAGAGGGTCAGGTCAGGAGTCGAGAGGGACGGTGTAGTGTAGGTTGACGCTTCGAAAAGTCTGGAAAAAAAGGGAACGAGGCAGAGTACAAGTGGCAAGCCCAGCAACGGGCAGGGAGGACGGCGGGTCAAAGGTGGACGGGTAAGAATGGCACAATTCAGTTTTAGCTCCAAAGTGGCAGGCACCCTCGAAGCAACCTCAGGGCAGTTGCTCGCAAGGGAAATCCCAAATCGTCGTGAAGCTGCAACTCTGCACAAATGCGCGCACCAATTAAAAGGCCTGGTTAGCAGGGGTATTTGATGGGACGCTCCAGGCACCCTTTCTCGGTTCTCACCTCTTGCAACTCGTCCAAGTAGGGTTGCTTTCCATGAACGGCGTGCTGAATTGCAGGTTAGTTCTTGCCCAAATCCGATGGAAAGGCCTTTGGTTTCGCCTCCATCTCCACGGCGTCTTCTGATCAAAACATTTGCTCGGAGATGACTCTTGAAGAGTTCAAGTTACCTGTCAAGATATTATTGCATGCAAGCAATGACACAGTACAGTGTCCTGGGAGCACAAAGGTCCCATACTGTAAGTGTACACAGTAAAACCCATCAACCCGTAGATCTCCCGCCAGGCACATCATCACACCTCCTCTTCCCCGAGCCTGGAATGCGATGAGGTCAAGGGCAGAGACATGTTCCAGTTCAGACCTCGGCGTGGCGCGCTTCGTTTACGATTTGGATGCCATGATTTTTGTGCTAGACAACATCGCATGGAAATACCCAAAGCTCGGAACCCATGATGATTTCGAAGGTGGTCCCTTTGCCCCGCCAACGGTTGTAGTGTAAAAGTGCAACCATTAGTGATCAGCACTGCCACCTTGTGTTGTCATGGAAACAGCGACCTACCTCGTGTCAGCACAAGGAACACCCTTTTTGTGTTCGTCGTAAAAACTAAAAGCGACATGGTAAAAGACTCTTCGTGGGGTTTTGGTGTATTAATGACTCTGCGAGATCGAATAATGAAGCCGCGTCCATGCTGGTTGCGATCATGCAGCATCGCGTTCCTGCGCCAACATGTGGGGTTCTCGTCTTAATTTCACAGACATCAGGGGCTTCTATTGGTTGGATTACTTTTCGGGGTTGGCCAAGAATTGGAGATGCACGGTTCCGAGTTCTGACTGTGCAGCATTTCGTTCGGACAATGCTTGGCCTGCAGTCCATCTGCTTGGGCCACTGCAGTCATCCACTGTCCTGAAATATCGAGGTAGGATAGCACTATGGAGCCAGGCATAGCGGGACGGACTGAGAGGAATGGAAGGGAATGTTGAAGGGCGTCGACATTGTTTTCTTCAGCGGTCGTCCTTTGTTCCTAGAGGTACCTAACTGCAGGTGAGACCCCTCATTAGCGGACTGACCCGTAAAAGCTGGAGAAATTTTTGGGCCAAAACGCTACTGATGGCGTGTGTCTCGGTTCACACGACTGAAGTAGTCACATTACAACCCGGGCATGCAACCAGGATTGACAACTCGAAATGACGAACTGACGTTTACTTGGTGGAGACGTTATTACGAAAAGGTCTGGGCAATCGGCAACACTTAAGCGCTTCATCGGAATCCCATTCCAGGTGATCAAGGAGGGGCGCGCGCATAGCCCTACCGTGATGTCTGGTAAAGAGAAAACTGTGCATAAGGTCGCAAACAACCGCCATCATAGGCCCAAGTGCATGATTGGGCGAGCCATGGATGGCTTCTTGTGTCACTCGAGCTTGATTGCTTATGGATTGGCCACTCACATATCCGGCAGCCCGGGTGTTCAGCCCCTTTGTTTCCACAAAGATTGGTCTTCGGTCAGAGCTCGATGGGCGTCTGCACTGATGATGAGAAACTCCAATTGTTGGGCCGAGTGTCTGATAGTCTTGGCGGCACTGCCACATCTTGTAAATGATGCATCCGCCGCATAGCATTCGCAGACTTTGGGTCCAAAGGCATCGGGAGGCGGTTTCCATCAAGGGAAATAGACAGACTGGACTGCGAGCATGACATGCCTAACCAGCCAGTGGTATACACTTCTCGTATGCCATCGAAGCGACTCATCTTCTTCCGTCATAGATCGCTGTTGTCAACGGGCGTAAACGGGCTGTAGCGAAAGGTGGGGACTTGGTGGGAAACGATTCCATTGTGATATCAAGACCGACTATGTCGTCGAAGCAGCTAACGGAGCTTGACTACAGTCAGCCTCATGAGCTCCGATCTCTTTTGGGTGCAGCAATGACGAATGGCATGACAAGAGACCATTGGACATCGTTTACGATTGTCATCAAGGCTCCGATGGCTCCAATGATGACCGACGTTACACCCAGTCATGCGGGATTCCGGCACATCTGGTCGCCATTCGCTTTACTTCCAACTTGTTCGCACAGATGTCGTAAACAGCCAGATAAAGTCTCGTGGGCATGGCTTTGTTTCACGAATCGAGGCCCGAGTAACTGTGAGAGCGTCACACCGCTTACAGACGGGGTTGCCCATGTCGCCGCATGTTTGACAGGTACGTGGGTGGACCGAAACATAACTAGGAGACCGTACATCCGTACTCGTGGAACTTGAGTCGATGAAACCCAGCGTTGTGCTGCATGAGGGAGTCAGTTGATTGTTGGGACATGCAGAACTGTTGGAGCCCTATCAGAAAAAGGCATCGATGCGCTTGACTGTGTGGGGATAATGTGTGACGGGAATCTTCAACCAGATGGCTTTATCCTAAACCGACCCTCAGGAGAGATAACACCGGACAACTCCGCGCCGGACGCCCTCAGCCTCCTCGCGCAGAGGTTCAACCGAAGCACCGAGACCTCTCATCCGTAAGACAAAGTCGTCTAACGATCCTCCGACGCCAAAGTACATCTTCTTTGCGCCCACAATAGAGGAAGCATGGCCACTTGGACGCTCCTTGCGCTCTCGCTCCAGGATCAAAAGCAGCGTGGCCGCAAAGCTCTCGAGGGCGAAAGGCGAGTAGATGGTCTCTGCGCCAATGACCAGTGTCTGGACATTTCCTGTAGGGTTTGAGGGAATACCAGAGTTGTAAAGAAGGTCGACAAACTCGGGAGACCATCCACCCGACAGGAAAGAAAGCGTGATTTGATTGGAGATCAGGAACTCTTTGAAGGCTTCGACTACTCCCGGAAGCAGTTCGACTTCGTCCTCTAGCGAAAAGGCGTCCGCTAGGGCAGAAGTGCTCTCTCGCTGAGAGAGCGCCCAAGCGAGGAGAAAGTTGGGTAGGGTGACCAGATAGAGAACTGATGGGTTATAATCAGCCAGTACGAGCGTAAGCGGCTGCTTCTCGCCAGACTTTCTCTCGTTCATCGCCCACTGAAAGAGCGCGAGGGACGGCAGGGCAGTACCGCAGCCCAGCTGAAAAGCGATCTGTCAGCAACAACAAAGAATCGGGAAGAAAGCGGAACCGGATTAAAGAGCCAAGAAGGGGAGAGGACGACGCGTACCTCCATAAGCACACAAGGATCGCGATTGAGGACCGTGGGAGCGTTTTCAGAGGCGAGCACCTTGACCAAGTCGACGCTGCTTTCCCAGCTCTTGAAGCCACCCTCGTAGATACCCGTCTTGACATCGTGTTCCCCCAGGCCGGGTTCCGTCTCGGAGATATTTGAGCCATCGTCCTCAGCCATGAGCTGCACCCGAACATCCCACAACTCTCGACGCGGGATCTGAATGGCCTTGCCCTCTTCTAGCTCGACGTCTAGTAGGCTGTAGGCGATCTTGGAGGGCAACCTCGATAGCATGTGATCGATATCATGGTGGGTTGGTGGCAGCAGTGGCTTTCCCTGAACGGGGAAAGCACTGGCACTTGTCGCCGCTGGCGGTATCGGAGTGGCTATGCTGTTGACCTGAGAGGTTGATTGCCCGTCGTCCTCGATGTCGTCTCCCGCAAAACCGAAAGAAAACCCAGATGCCATGTTTGCGTGGACTTGGTCGTATACCGTACCAACAAAACCCCCGGTATTTTGCACTTGCTTCTTCTCTCGTCAGAGTGAAGTACAACCAAGCCGCTACCGAAACCGAGGCTTTCTGTAAGTCTAGAGCGTCAGTCTCGATATGAGGGAGCCTGTTGAAGTTACCACTGCCCAACAATCCATGTTTATCTTGTCGTCGTCTTTTAGGGTTGCGATCAAGGGTTGGGTATGAGAGGCCTCTTATCGCCCGGGGACATTGGATCGGGCCGTGGACAGCTGGGATCGGCTGCCCCACCATTCTCCAGGGGCCCGACCCTCACTCACACTGGACAGCCCAGGCACTTTCCGGGGGAAGTGGACCTGTCCGGACATGATAGGTTCGCCGTTAAAACCAAGGACTTGATCATTGACCATTCATCTCGGATTGCTCGCCTGATATCGTTGGCCTTCACGGCAAAACATCGCTTCCGTTGCAACAATTGAGATGATAAGATACTGCTTTCTTCCAAGGCGGCTCAACCCCTCGCACTCCCACGTTCGACGTTCGGGGACTCTACCTCTAGGTACCATTCAGGCGATGATCCCCATTCGCCGCGCCCCGACGACATTCTTGACATGACGAGAACCCGCCGCTGTGGTTGGACCATATACGACTTATATAACCGCGCATGATCCGTACACCAAACCATACTTACTGCACCTTCCTACTCCAGTCCTCGCTCTCCTCCACCTCCGCCGCCATCAGCACTTGGCTAGAAGGATCCTACATGATACATTGCTTTTCACACTTTACACACTGCTCTTCCATTGGACTGCCTTGGTCTCGGTCAACTCTCGAACTCTATTTGCCACTCTCTGCCCATCCCTCCAACCTTCCCTGTGTGGCCCTTCTATGTGCAATGGTTCCGATGGCATCTGTGCGTTGCTTAATCCATGGCCCCCGGCTTGGGATGTTGGCTCAATGAGGAGGCATGTTCCGGACGGGATGGCTTTTGCGGCTTGACGGCCGAACCATGTTTGGTCAGATGGGTTCTGGTTGAAGCATGTTGCCCACTCGTGGAGCTTCGTAAACCGGCCAACTGCCCGCGTAGCAGGACAAACAAGATGGAGAGTTGGTTCTTACCTCCTGATTCAATATCGGAAAGACAAGGGATCGGATATGAATGAAAGCCAGGACGGGCTTCGTCAGCTTTCCAGCAGGCGCCTCCATTGTTGCCATCCTAACTTCCTGCGGGTTGTCAGTGGACTTTAAAAGTGCTTTGGAAAACCATTCAAACCGAGTCGCAGTCTCCTTCAACAACCAACCTGGAGGTTTTGCATCGGCACTCGTGGCTCCCATTCAAGTCGCCATTATTGGCCGCTACAGTTTGCCATCCGATCCACGTTAGATAAAGCATATTTATCGACGCCTTGAATCTCCAACTTCTCCAAGGGTGGACGTCTTCACCCCCTCCCTACAAATACCCAGCTTGTTCTCGACCTCATTTGTGTACTTCACATCTTCTTGTCTCTAATTATTCAGGACCCCTTGATCTTGCTGGACCACATCAGGCACATCCACTTCCTCACTCTTCAAAATGGTCATCAACACATCTGGGCCTGAATTGCCTATCCGTACCCACGATCTGCCAACCTCAACCTTCTCGCACAATGGCTCCCTCGAAAAGAGTTACACAATTCGAGAAGAGCCTCTTGGCACGACTAAGCATCTCCGGATCGTCGGCATCGGTGCCGGTGCAAGCGGGTTGAACATGGTCCGTACCCTTCGCTTAAATCTTACGGACTACGACTTCGTCATCTACGAAAAGAACCAGGATGTGGGTGGGACGTGGTTCGAAAACCGATATCCTGGCTGCCGATGTGATATCCCAAGTCACAACTACCAGTTCGCGTGGAAGCCAAAGCATGACTGGTCCAACTTCCATGCCTCAGCCGACGAGATTGGTGGTTACCTTCGCCAAGTATGCGACGAGGAGCATATGCGGGACTCGATCAAGACCTCCCACCGTGTGGAATTTGCGCAGTGGGACGAGGAGAAAGCACGCTGGGACCTGATGGTACAAGATTTGACGACGGGCGAGTACATCAATGACTATGCCGATTTTCTGTTGGATGGAACAGGTATCCTGAAGTGAGTGACACTCCCAAATGTTCATGGCATGTATTGCAATGTCAGATAACTGACGGTTCTCTCTATAGCAACTGGAAATGGCCCGATGTTGAGGGCCTTACGGCCTTCGACGGAGACTTAATACATACCGCCAACTGGCCAAAGGACTTTGACGCCGCTGGAAAAGTAGTTGCTGTCATCGGCAATGGTTCGACGGGAATCCAAGTTGTGCCGGAACTGCAGAAGAGTGAGCATTTCCTCTGCTACTTTACTAAAAATGCTCAGCTAACGTTATGACAGAGGTAGAGAAGCTGTACCATCTCTTTAGAACGCCCACTTGGGTCCTCCCGCCACGGATAATGGCGTGGAAGATGATGGGCCAGAATAAGGAACTCCTGGAGATACTCGGCGAGATCGGGATCGATGCCCAAGAAAATTTCTCGGAGGAGACGATCGAGAGGTTCAAATCCGACCCCGAGTTCTATGGCCGTTTCGTAAAGGCTGTGGAAAAGGAAGTCAATAATGGTTTCCCGATGGTAATTTTTTCTTTCCTGCTTTCGATGTCTATCAAACTCAGGATCGTCGCTAACATAACCGTTGAAATAGGTTCTGGCAGGAAGCCCACTGCAAACCTTTGCTCAACAAAAGGCGGAGCAATACATGAAGTTGATGCTTAGAGGGAACAAGGAGCTTTGTGAAGCATTGATTCCCGACTTTCCGCTAGGAACGAGGCGATTAACCCCTGGTCAAGACTATCTCCAGGCGCTCACCAAGGAGAATGTCGAGGTTAGAAGAGGAGGAATCAGACGCTTTGTTCCAGAGGGTATTCAACTGGAATCTGGCGAAGTGATCAAGGTCGACGCAATTGTTTGCGCCACCGGCTTCAACACATCTTTTTGCCCGCGGTTTCCCATCGTCGGGCGCAAGGGAAATCTGCAAAACGATTTCAGGGATGAGGTTCCCAAGTCTTATATGTCTTGCGCCATTGCTAACATGCCCAATTACTTTGGTAGGCCCGACTCATCCACCTCTTTAGCATCAAATTGATTATGCTGACCTGTAATGTGCCAGTCTTTCTAGGACCTAACGCCCCCATCGGTCACGGCAGTGTCTTCACGCTAACCGAGCACATCGCCAAGTACATCACCCGAATCATCAAGAAATGTCAGACGGAGTGCATCAAGACCATCTGCCCTTCTCAGGATGCGATCGATGACTATTTCGAGCATATCTCGGCTTTCATGCCCCGTACAACGTGGGGCGCTCAGGGACGGTCGTGGTTCAAGAATGGTCAGGAGGACGGACCGGTCACGGCGTTGCATCCGGGAAGCCGTATACATTTCTTCCACATGTTGGAGAACTTCCGGGGAGAAGACTGGGATTATATCTACGAGACGCCGAAGAAAAACCGGTTCTACTACCTCGGGAATGGGTTCTCGACAAAGGAGAAGGGGGATACGACGTGGTATCTGGATAACCCGGATTCCAAGCTGTGAATGGGTGAAGGAGGCATCGGAGCGAGATGTGAGAACGGGTTGGGCATGGGAAAGACCAAAAGGGACTGCACAGTTTAGCAACAAAGGAGCGGCGGCGGCAGACCGTACAAACAACATAGGTTTTTCAGCCTCTTTACTTCTATCTGATGGCGGCTGTTGACGCATAAATAAACCGTTGTTGTCAACGTGTAAAAACGGTGAAATAGATAAAGTAACGATTGTTCGTGCAGAAACCAACAGATTGTGACCATCTGGAGCGGACGCTTAGTAACCGTGAGGACAGCTACCAAACCTCTTCGCTCAAACCAACTTTCCGTTAGCGCACAGAAACGGGTTGGAGATCTCTTTTTCTCCAGATCCTGTCCCCATCATACGTCCCAATGAATATGACTACAGTTTGCTTGTCCTATGCAGTGCCTATCTCATGTTCAAGTGTAGTGTGGTGATGGGTGTGCTGCGAGCACTGTTTGCTGCACGGTCTCTGCAATACTGTGTGTATGCATTTAGTACTTTCCTATACTTAGGACTTCTTGCTGTATCGCAGTGTCCCGCAGGTACAAGACAGTGCAAACAGCGTCTGGACAGCCACTAATGACCTCACCCTCCATCGGGGCTCCACGCTCCAGCAACATCACCGAACTCAAAACCCCAACCTCAAAAGGCCACCTTCAGCCTGTGTTCAATGATAATTCGCCGAAATATATTTTGTTCTTCTACTGGTCCGGATGTTCGACACCCTTCGTTAGTCTTTCACACTCATCAACGGGTCACTTGTCCATTTGGGTGACTTCTACGGCGAACATCTGACTACCTCCAACCTGGTTGCTTCCGGGTTTCGATATCGACTGGCGACAATTGAACAGGAGCTTATTCGAACAACACGTCTCAGCCATCTAGCAGAGGAGAGGATAGACTAAGGACATACATTCTACGTTACAGCCATTAGCAGCACACTGCTGTATTACCAGGGGGGAAAGCAGAGTGCGAATGAGGGGAATCTATCCAAACATCCTATGACGGAAGCCTCTACAGCTCACACCATGAGTGAGCTTCAAAAGCAGTGGGCAAAGGCGAGGCTCGGCAGCCAGGCGCTGGGGCAGCCGCCAGCAGAGATACCGACCACAACTACGATGCCCGAGTTCAACGAGGCGGACGAAGACAAAGAAATGGCGGGGCCCAGTCCAGGCGGATTTCCCTTTGACGACGACTCCTCATCAGCGTCCTCTGTTTCATCTACAGGAACTGTAATTCCTTCTCCAGGGAGAGCTCTGTTTGCGCGACCACAGGGGTATGTCGGGCTTCATTTTTGCCAGTTAACACTTATGATTATCCATTCCAGGGCTAAACTCACCTCTATTGTAGATTTGCCAGTCGATCCATGGATCCTATACCCTGGACAACTTACTTTGAACGAGAACTCTTTCTCAAGGAGGAAGCTGGACCCGACAGTGGAAGCCGCACCAGTAACAAGAACAAGCCAGCATCAATAACCTACCACGCCTACCTCACCTCGCCAGTCGGCAAAGGTCCGCTCTTCGTCACGCACCACGGCGCCGGTTCCTCCGGCCTCTCCTTCGCCGTCCTCAGCTCCGAGATCCGCAAACGTCTACCCAACGCCGGCATCCTCTCCCTCGACGCACGCGGCCATGGCTCAACCACGGTTACTGCCGCTTCTTCAGTTCCAGGTGAAGGAGATGTGACCACAGGACAAGCACCACCAACGCCGCTAGACCTCAGCCTCTCCACCCTTGCCACCGACCTCTTCACCGTCATCCAACTCACCCGTACCGCCATGCACTGGCCCGAACTCCCACCCATCATCCTTGTAGGTCACTCCCTCGGCGGCGCCGTCGTCACCGAGCTCGCCAAATCCTACCGTCTCGGCCCTTCTCTCCTCGGCTACGCCGTGCTAGACGTAGTCGAAGGTTGCGCCATGGACGCCTTACAAAGCATGCAAACCTATCTCTCCACACGGCCGCAAGGGTTCGCCACTCTGAAGGACGGCATCGACTGGCACGTGCGATCGCGGACGATCCGGAACTCGACGTCAGCCAGAACAAGCGTGCCCGGGCTTTTGGCGCCCGTGGAGGAGCTGCAGAGGCCGGAGCTGCAACAACTGCCAAGAGGGGTGGCGGGGACGGAGGGGACGGCGAAGCCGTGGCGGTGGAAGACGGATTTGGCGGCGACGCAGCCGTTCTGGGAAGATTGGTTTGTGGGGTTGAGCAAGAAGTTCTTGGAGGCCAGGGGGGGCAAGATGTTGTTGCTTGCGGGAACGGATCGGTTGGATACTGAGTTGACTATTGGGCAGATGCAAGGTATGTTTCTCGTTTTCGTTCTGGCTTTGGTGGTGATCTATCACGGGGCCACTTTCTCAAGAGTTCTTTGTGATTAGACTAACTATGGATTGTGTCCTACAGGTAAATATGCCCTGCAAGTGTTTCCCGAAGCGGGACATTTCATTCATGAGGACTTGCCGGAGAAAACGGCGATTGCACTTGTGGACTTTCATCGGCGCAACGACAGGAGTCAACTAGTACTCCCACCCAAGGTCTCGGATCTGTTGGCTCAAGGGAAGAAAGTATAAAGCATACTGCCAACAGTTGAAGAACGGGGGAATGGCATTAAGCCCCCCCCCCCCCCCCCAAGTAGGTGGTGATCATTACACATAAAGAAAGAGGGTAGAAGAATTATGCGTAGCGCACACGTATACACCCCTTACTCAGAGTGAACACAGCGACGGCCAGTACATTGATTCTTGTTACCGCTTAATTGAGGAAAAGTCAGTATTTTAAAGATCAGAAACAATCTGTTGCAGGCAAGCGTAGCAGTAGACCAGGAATAGTCTCTGCCTTTTCCAAGGTAAACTATCCAAGATTTGTCAAGTATGACATTGCCGGATAGACAACTACAAATGAATGTGATTCTTTTGGATCCCATGCGCCCTCAGGAACGATAAGGTTAATTCATGAAACATTTAGCCAATGTATGGTCTCAACTCTACACAGATGACAGATACATGGACATCAGTTTCACCATCGAGCTTTTTTAGTAATGATTAGCTCCCGACCAAAACTTTATCGGCTAAGTTGCTGCAGACTATCAAGCCTCAAAGTTCCTCCCTAAGTGGGCTGTTCACCACGGGTTCTTCCCACATCCGCTTTTTAGGATTTCTTTGTACCACTTCCTCCTCCTCCTTCTCCTCCTCTTCCCCCTTCTCTCCTTGCTCCCCAGTAAAGATTCTCTCCTGACCGATCCAGCCTTGTTCCAGCTCTGGATCTTCGACCACGATCGGGTGAGTTTCATCCTTCTCTTCCTCCAGAGGCGGCAAATTCTCTTCAATAATCCTCCCAACCTTTTCAGCCATCGATTCCGAGTCCACATCATTATCATTGTCCCTTTTCTTCACCTTCTCACCGCCACCACCACCACCACCACCACCACCACCATCACCACCACCACCACCACCACCAACTTGAACCTGAAGTGTAGGAACAGCCCCCTCCTCCGCCATCCCCACCACACTCCTCCCCCCTCCCATCCCCTCATTCCCAACCGAAACCTCCATCCTCGCGCCCTCTCCCGTTCTAGTCTCCGCCGCGCCATGCCCACCATGGTGAGTGGAAACACCATAAGCAACCTTCCCGCCCTTCCAAACCATCCTCAACGGCAACCACAAAGTCCACCAAAGCGGTCCATACAGCCACCGTCTAAACACCAACCACCCCAGCGTGCACAGCAGCATGTACAGGCTGGTCCTCAAGTACCACGTATCGCTCTTCTGGCTCTGCAGCAGCGTGCTCACCAAGTCGCGCGAGCGTGAAAGAAGGGAATCGATCCCCTCGTAGCTACGTTGCAGTTCCTTCAAGGCAGCGGTGCTTTCCGCAAGGGTTTGGGAGGCGAAGGCGGACTTGGCTACCTCGGAGGCGATCAAGGCGTGCGTGCGCCGCAAAGCGTCGGTGACGGTGGAGGAGGCGGAGACAACTTCGGAGTCGTGGGAAGGGGGCAAATTTGTTTGGTGCTGTTTGCGACGGCGGTTGCCGAAGAGGGCTTGGCGGGGGTCGAGAGGAGGAGCATCTGTGGAAGCGGCGGCGGCGGCGGCGGCGGAGGTTGGGAGAGGGGGTGGAGTCGTCGTCGAGGTTGGTTGAGCACCACCGCTGGGGGCAGCAGCAGTAGATACGGGTGTTGAGGCGCCGGATCCGCGGTCTGATGCGGCGAGGTTGGCGGCGACGGCAACGTAAGAGGCTAAGAGGAGCTGGCGCTCGAGGCGCTGGGCGGTTTCAAGGTTGCGGCGCGCCGCGAGTTGGGCTTTGCGGAAGGAGGTTCGACAGCTTTTTTTTGAAACGCAATTTTGTTAGGGACTTTGTCCATCTTCATTGTCATTGTCGTTGTCATCAACACCCAGGTTGAGAAGACGAGAAACATAACTCACCCCTTAAGCTCGACAGCCAAGCGTTGCGCGCCCTCCTTTAACCTCGTCTTTTGATGTTCCGCCTCACTCCCTGGGCGGCCGGAGCGCAAGTCAACAATCTCCTCCTGCAGCAACTCCAAATCCTCCTCCTCCTCGCGCAAGACCTGGCTGATTTCGGCGCTCAAGTCAGCGGCCTCACTGTTGGTGGTTCCATCGGCGCCAGTGTTCGCGAGACTGCTGATGCTGTTGCTCAAAGGAACGGAACCGGGCTCGAATTTAAGCGTGGCCAGACGCTCGATGAGGTCCTTGAGCTGGCCGGTCGTCTCTTGAAGGGCCGTAAGCCGCTCTTGGAGCGTTTCGAATGTTGACATTAGTGACTTGTTATATTATGTCGGTATCGTATTCGTAGGGGGTCAACTCGGTAGATATGTGTTGAAAAAGGTGGATGTGTAACGGATGGTTTCCATGGATCGTAGTCGGATCCCACTTAGGTACCTGGTGTTGATCAGCAGCTGTGGTTGATGATTAGTGGAAACTTGGCCTGAAAGGAGAGCACTGTAGCGATGTTCAATGGAAGTTCTCGGTGGCTCTTGCAACGTCATCCTCAAGGTCAATGAAAACGGATCACATGCGGGATGCGGTAACGGAGTTCAAGTTACAACTCGCTGGGGCAAACGGGAGTACTGCTGCGCTGAAGGAACAAAGCACAAACCTCAACTGTCATGTGAGGGCTTCAGACGAACATAATATGATAGAAGGCCGGGAGTAATTCTCTTCTCGTTCAAAAGATTAAAAAGATGTATAATGTCAATTGATCTGATGTGAAGATGAAGATAAAATTAAGCCTGATACCGTTTGGTCCCAGTTCCCAACCAATCATAACCCACCTCTCACACGTTGCGCGCACCGTCCCGCATTCTCCGTTTTCCAAAAACACCCCTCCCAGCCCCCGGCGCAATCGGTACGTACCTCCAGTAATTTTTGATCGCATCCTCCACGCTGCCGGCCGGCGCCAGGCACGAAGACCGAATCGAAGTCCAAATCGCGACACAAGCTACCTACGTACCCCGTCCCGATCCTCCACAGAGACCCGTCTCCCGTCTCCCGCGTCTCCGTCTCCGTCCCCGTCCGGTGTGCAGTGCAGTCCCGTCGCACTTCTTCTTCTTCTTCCTCCCGAACCCAACCCCAACACGACCTCAGGTCACCACCACCCCCCCGAGAGACCTCGCCCAACATGCTCACCCGCTTCATCACCGACGTATCAACGCGCTTCAACCCTTTCTCGGCCAAGGCCAAGGCCGCCCGGCTCTTCCTCTCCTTCCTCCCTCCCAACGCCCGCTCCAATGGCATGAACATCACCACCCAGCTTCTGCCGCGGAATTCCACCGAGACTCCTTTGCTCTATGTCAAGTTCAGTACGTTTCCCAATGTCTCTTCTTCTTGTCACTTGCAACTCTGTCACACACATCGGACTGCCGTTGCAGTTTGGTTGTTGCAATCTTGATCATTCCGGCTGGAAGGCATTCAAGAGTCGTTAGCTGTGAATCAAGCCGTAGTCTAACGTATTTCAAAAAAACAGAGGACGGCAAGGAAATGAACCTCGACGTTGAGAACATGGGCATCAAAAGCATTGTCGAGGAGGTGGATCGCCACTCTCGTATTCTTCAGAAGCAGGCCGACTTGAACGACGGTTGAACGAATCTCTTGTCTTTTTTTTTTTCTCTCTTCAAAACCCAACAATTTCGAGGCGCCCTTGTTGCGTTGATCCACCAATCGAACTTTGCGGGTAAAACGAAGGAGACTGAGACTAGGAAAAAAAGGAGGAAAAAGCCACAGGGAGAGCAAGGAAAGCTCGTCTTGTCTTGATACCCAGACTACTTGGCTTTGGTCGGTGGTACCAAAACGACGATTGACCGAGAGGAGAAGAGGAAAAGTCTGGATATTTGAAGGCACATTCAAATCACCTGGGTAAAGCCAGCGAACTTGGAGCCGGACACCTGACAACCTCTCTGAGAGATCTGTAAGATCGCCTTACCAGCCAAAAAGAAAACAACAACAAAAGATATAAACCTGTATTTGTATTGGGCAAGAGGTTGTAAGTGTACACCAACAGCATTGGGAGGCGTTAAGGGGCCGGCGATTTTCAGTTGGCAAGGTGGTTTGGGTACCTGTTGTTATAGACATGCGTATATAGCACCTCTGCCATGGATTGATTCACATACATCACGGTACGCCCATTTTGACAAAGTCAAAGTTGAAGTCGGCCCTTTTTTTTTTGCGAGCTTGTTTCCTTCGATGGGGAATCCATCAACGGTCTCGGTATATCTCAACGGCGAAACTCATGGAGCAAGAATGTCGAGCATCTCCTCGACAAGTCCCTGTCCCATGGCATGGACTACAGCCTCAGAAATGGCCAATCTCTGACCACGCATACTTTGTTGCAAAAACCAAGTGCAAGGCACATCTCAGAAACTAATCTCGACTCTACGCAAAACAACGCATGCGGATGACAGTCGACCCATGGAGGATAGTTCACGGCGATTTGACCAAGACAACAAGGTGCCAAAAAATATCTTTATTCTACCTCAACAAACGAACTCTCTAAGCGGAAGCACCGCTGATGAAGAACCACTTGTCGATGGAGCTATCGATGGGGGCAGGGGGGAGATCCTCGTTGGCGGGGAGGGGAGGAAGCTGGTCAGGGGCAACACGGCTGCTGGAGTGCTGGACAGTGACGTTGGTGGTGGAGACACCGCCAGGGGCAGTCTTGCCGGTGATGAGACGCTCCCAGGCTTCGTTGCACTCACGGACGACGTCCATGGCGTACCTGTTGTTATTTGTTAGCCAATGTAGCAGTTGCGGTGACAAAGCGGCACAAAAAACTCACGTCTTGTTCTTGCACTCGCCAGTGAAGGCGAACTGGTTCTCGGGCTTGCCGTCAGGGATCTTGTAGATGCGGAACCACTCGTTGGTGGCACGGATAAGGCCGGGGAGATGACGCTCAACATCCTCAACGTCGTTGAGCTTGGGGGCAAGAGGGTCGTTGACGTCGATGACAATGACCTTCCAGTCAGTCTCCTCCTCGTCGAGAAGGGCCATGACACCGAGGACCTTGACCTGCTTGACCTGGCCGGTGTAGCCGACGAGCTCACCGATCTCGCAGACGTCGAGCGGGTCGTTGTCACCCTTGGCCTTGGTCTCGGGGTGGATGGAGTTGGGGTCCTCCCAGGTCTGGGGGAAGGCACCGTAGTTCCAGAGGTAGCCCTTGTGGGGGAAGCAGTTGCGGACGAAGCGGAGCTTGCCCTTCTTGGTGTCCTGCTTGATGGGGTTCAGGAGCTCCTCCTTGGAGATCTATGGGGCGAGTTTTTAGCAGAGGGTTGAGGTAAATACGCCGCGAAGCAGCCTCGTGTAGACAAAGCTGCGTGCGCGGGAGACCCTCGAGGGAAGCGGGAGTCGAGGCTTACCTCCTGCTTGGCGTTGGTCCAGCGGGGAATCTCAACGACCATGTTGAGGATGGTCTGCTCGGCATTGGCATAGAGCGGGATATCGTGGAAGGGCGAGACGGGGACGCCATCCTTCTCGATGTAGACGCGGTGCTCCAAGGTGTAGGGAGCGCCAACCTTGCGGACGCTGTACTGGGAAGCCATGGTTGCGACTGAGCTCGACGAGAGATGCCGGGCAATCTGTTGTGTTCTGGCGGAGGAAATGGCGGTGGTGATGTTTGGTCTCGTCAGGGTGGATGAGCCCAGCAGCGGTTTTGTATTCGGAGATTGGGCAGCTCCCCCCGATCCATTGCCAGCCGATGGAGGGGGAGGGGTCCCAGCTCCCCCTCCGACCGGGCACGGGGTGTGTGTGGAATTGGACTGGGGCCCGCCAAGTGACGCCAGCGTGCGGGCCTGCGATTGGCCGGGGCGGCCGAATTGTGGCGGCATGTTTTGGACGGACGGGAGGTGGCCGTAGCCGTGGAAGATGTGTGGCTGCGACGACGGGCGCGGGTGCGGGAGCGGGAGGAGCGTGCTGTGCTGTCTGCTCTGGGGCTGGAAGTGCAATGGCCGGCACCGCGTCTTTGCCAGCAACTGCAACCTGACTAGGCTCTGAGACCGCATTAGAGTCACAGCAGGTGAGACGTGGATGGTTTGAAGAAAGCGTCGGGAGGGTGTGCTGTAAGTATTCGGGTGCCCTGTTCCTGATGATCAAAGTCGGCTTGTTGCTCACTCGGCTCACTTTGGCCGCGGCTTCTTCTTTCTTCTTCTTAATCAATGCTGCCTCCAGGGTCCTGGCTGAGCGAGGCTCGTAAGCTGGGGCCACTTCCATCCTAACGTTGCCGAAGAGTGGGGCTTGGCTCCAGCGTCCAGTGTGCTGTCTGTCCACTGTACCTTTGTACCCTCACCGCTGTCACCACACCCCCGGACGCTGAACTCTTGATGACACTCGATAATCCCACGCAATCTGACGATCGAGTCTCGTTGGCTGAGTATGTACAGATAGGTATGTACGCAGTAGTATGGTGTTGGTTCTTCAAGCGGTCATCAACCCCACCCAACCTCATGTGGCTTGAATAACAACAACATGCCCAGATTTTCAACCAAAGAGCAGCTCTAGGGCCATGTTCGCTGTCGACCGCTGGTGATACTACAAGTAAAATGCTCCGCTGCGTTGCTGGCTAACTTAAACACAAGAACATAGTTGTTCTTGGAGAGATAAGTAGTCTAAACCCACCCTTCATAGAGTATCTATCAACATGCATTCCCGGCATATGACAGGGTTCCCCGCGAGAACCAGACATGTTCATCAAGAGCAAGCAACATCGATCTGATCCTTCCCTTGTGGCCCGTCCTTTCATCTGATCACGGCTCTCGCAAAGCTCAAAGGGTGCTCACAAGTTGTTATGGAGGGTTAGGGTGAATACCGAGTTCCCGGCCCGCCTCGGCGCCCGCCGATCGCAGATCGAATTTCTGGATAGCGCCGCGGGCTATTTTCCATCTTTCAGAAATTCCAGTCCAAACACTTCACGTCGCCCCCCGCACCGCACCCTTTTCTCCCCTCCTTTTTGCTCCTCTGTCCGGGCAGAGACGCCAACAGATGATATGCCTGTTTCTCCATTGCGCCTTGTCCGAACCATCATGACATCCGTTACCGAAGAGACGACGGCCCCGGTCCTGGCTGCTGCTGCTGCTGCTGCCGCGGGCCTCACCCAGAAGAGGGTGCCCATCCCGCCGCGGGGCGTCGACTATCGTGGCAAAATCGTTCTGGCTCCCATGGTCCGCTCTGGAGAGCTTCCCTCGCGCTTGCTGGCTCTTCATTATGGTGCCGATCTCGTATGGGGTGCGTCCAATGTCGGGCAATTTGAACCATTTGCAGTATTTGGACTTTGACTGACACTTCTTGCTCTCAACAGGCCCCGAGACCATTGACCGTGCCATGATCGGAACCACCCGCCGTGTCAACCCCCGCAACCACTGCATCGAATGGACTCGGGTCCCTACCAACAATGTCAAAAAGGAACTGTTCGACGAGTCCGTCATCTACCGCATCGACCCCGTCCGCGAAGCCGGCCGACACATTTTCCAAATCGGCACCTCCGACCCAGCCAGAGCCGTCGAGTGCGCCAAGCTTGTCGCCGCTGATGTCTCTGGAATCGACGTCAACGCCGGCTGCCCCAAACCCTTCAGCACACACGCCGGTATGGGGGCTGCGCTGCTTCGAACGCCCGAGAAGCTGGTTTCGATTCTCGAAGCCCTCGTCGCCGAGATCAAGCCGGCCTTCGACATCGGCATCAGCGTCAAAATCCGCCTGCTCGAGACCACCGCCGAAACCGAAGCGCTCGTCCGCCGGCTTTGCGCCACGGGCATCACCGGTCTGACGATCCACTGTCGCACCACGCCCATGCGCCCACGCGAGCGCGCCATCCGCGGCCAGCTGCGTATGATTGCGGATGTATGCCACGAGTTTGGAGTAGCTTGCTTGGTGAACGGTGACGTCGAAGGGCGGGACCACGCGCTCGAGCTGATGGCCGAGTACGGCACCGACGGCGCCATGATCGCGACCTGCGCCGAGAAGAACGGCTCTTGCTTCCGCGCCAAGGCGGACGGCGGACTGGCGACGTGGGAAGAGGCCGTGGCCAAGTACGTCCGGTTTGCGATGGAGGTCGAGAACAAGTTTCACAACACCAAGTTCATGTTGACGCAGATGGTGCCCGGCAAGAGCCCCAAGTACAGGGAGCTGACGCCTTGCAAGAGTTATGGCAAGATTATCGAGGTATTGGGGTTGACGGGCGATGAGGAGCTCGTGGAGATGGCGAGGAGGACGGATGAGCTCATGAAGCTTGTTACTCTCGATGGAAGCAGCAGCAGCAGCAGTGGTAATGATAAGTCCAAGGTGGAGGCGGCAGGTGATGATAAAAAGAAGCATGACCTGACGAATAATGTGGCTCAGCAGGAGAACCTGAAGAGGAAGAGGGAGGATGGTGACGAGGAAACCGAGAAGCAGCAGCCCCCTCCCTCGATGAGAATCAACGTTTCCGAGGCCGGTGAAGCCGCCACAACTGCCGCCGCTACCTCCGTCGCCGAGCAGCAGTCCTCGCAGCCCGTCGCCGCTGCCGTCGCCGCTTTATAGGCTGGCTGTTCTCTCTTTCCCAAAAGTCTCTACACTTCTTTTTACTCGGGCCTTTTCTTTAATCTACGGTTAAGGCACATACATAGCGCGGTTACACAAAATTCGGTTTAGAGTTGGGCGTTTTATAGGGGGCGAATCTTACAGTTGGGATCTTTTTAGAGTTATTTCATCTTCTTAACGGCATGATATCCGAGAGAAGCGTGATAATTGGGCAATGCAATCATAAAGTCTCGATGGGTCATTTTAGACAAGACCGGAGGCAACTTCTGGTTACTGCTACCTACGTTTACCTACTGCCATACTTTCCTTGGTGACCCACTACATCTTTTGTTCTTGTTGATTAATTCTTGACGTAATTAGTTGTTCAGTTACCTAGGCCGTATTCACTATAGACATGCCAGCCTTCAAGATACTTCCTCCAAGTCGGTGGTGTGTATGCGCTATACTGTTGTTTCCTTAGAGCGCCATTATAGGAAACCATGGGCATTGTGATGAGCACTGCCGTGTTCCAAAAGTACACACACACAAGCTACTTCTCTCACTGGACAAAACTGATGCTAGCACAAATATCTTGCGTTGTTTCATCCATCTATACCCGCTGCCATTTCCAGAACCCCCATTCTCATAAACCACTCTTTTCTGTCCTGTCCGGTTCAATTCTTAGTCATGCAACGTCAAAAAACATAAATCGTCGAAAAAGGATGATGCTATTGCTCGAATGCTTCGTTTGTTTTACCTGTCATCCTATCCCATCCCATTCCATCTCCATTGTGTATCTTCATTTGCTCTCATCCGTTCCCATTTTCCCATCCGTTTCGTGTATACCCCATAGGAAAGTGGTATATAATAACAATCATGTATAAGCGTTCCCCTTATTACCATGTCCCGTCACCCCCAACCATTCGTTTAGTTTCGTGGTATATCATAAATCCAAAACGCCGATGCCTAAAACCCAAACCCCCAACCAATGGAAATTTGGTCAAGATACAAATTCCATAAAAAAACAAAAACAGGGCAGAAGATCGCCAAATGCAGAACCAACAAACATGCAGTGTATAGAGCGGAGGGGGGTATATGTGTATGCAAAACAGAGAATCGCGATTGTTGTTTCCTCCCTCCCAGTTGAAAGCATGTGTCGACCGTGAACCATTTCAACCGCCTCTTTTCTTTCGCGCATTCACTCATGCCGGTTGATCGCCCTTTTTTCCTTCGTTGTTATTTATTTTGTTGAGTTTTTTGTTGCCAATTAATGTCGCTTACGGACAAGCGTCGGACCTATGCTTACGGTGCAACAAGGACTGAAGGGGAAGACTGAACCGACGAGAGGTCGAGTTAATCAAGACTTCGAACAAGCCGACCTTAGCCCACTTGTTCTCGTGATAGTGATGGAATCCGAAGAAACCAGCCGTTGGCGGAGGAGCATACAGCTCAGGAGCTTCTTCCTCGTCAACATCCGAACCGCGGATGGTGTCGACAGAGCCGCGAGGACTGACTCTGAATACTTGACAGGAATTGATGTCAGACAGTTGCTGGGCTGGCTCTGATATCTCTTGGGTGATGAGGGGGATTGCCGGGGCAGATATTGGCTGGTCAGGGACAATCTCTTCAAGGAGACACAGGTCAGAAAGGGCAGCTGCTGGGATGTTCTGAAGCATTTCCTGTTCCACGATCACATCCTCGTGTTTGGCCGATGGAATGGCAAGTGGAGTCTTGTCAAAGTCTCCAGTCTCCTCGATATTTGCCTCGAGTTCCAGAGGCAACGGTTCCTCGACTGGATCTGTAGCTGGTATCACTTCCTCACCCTCGGCCTTCTCATCCTCGCCAGTGGCAGACTCAACTCCGAGGGGCTCCCTCAGCTTGTTCTCGATAGCCTCCGCGGATCGACTGAGGTTATCAAGCGACTCGACTCTGAGAGGCCCATCGGCATTAGTTGTATCCACATCTCCAGTCGAGTCATCAGTGTCTTCAGTGCCAGGAGCATCACCCAAGCTTCGATCAACCACTTCGGAAAGAGTATCTTGCTCTTCAAAATTCGCATCTTGCTCATGCGAAACCTGACAAGCCAAAGGCTCATCCTTGTCGATATCGCTATCGATCATTGGCTCATTGGTGCTGGTCTCTTGCTCGGATTGAGATTCAGTGGCAGCCAGATCCTCGTAATAAGGTTTAGCGATACATTCAGAAATGGGCGTAGGTTCAGCAAGGGGAATGTAAGACTTCTCAGCAAGAATTTCTCCGTGTGATGATTGAACAGGGATCACGGTTGATTCCATGGTCGTCTCCTCACCGGAAGACACAACATGAGGCACCTGGACCTGAACTCCAGCATCCTCAACGTCAGCATGCTCGATCCAAGTCTCGCAGTTGATCACGACTGGCTCAGCCGCGGGTTCAGCGGAAGCGATGTCCGCTTGCAACTCGCTATCTTCAAGGCCTTCGTCTTCAAGGTTGGCGTGCTCAATGTTGGGGAACTCTGGATGGGCTTCTTGGACGATTGGCTCATGGCTCGAAGTTTCCTCTGCCGCTCGCTGAACAACAGAAGCAGGGGTCTCCAGGGCGATATTCCCAAGATCAGTATGCTCGATCCACGTCTCACAGTTGACAATGACAGTGCCAATAGTAGGCTCAACTGAAGGGACATCGGACGCCACATCGGCATCCTCAAGACCTTCATCTTCGAGATTGGCGAGCTCAATCCCGGGATGCTCAAGCTGAACATTCGGAATGATACTCGATTCACCGACAGGAGCCTTATCAACCACGGCGACAGTAGGCTGTTGAGGAGTATCTTGCATCTCAGTGGTACCAATTTCAGCGTACCCAAGAGTGGATGGCCTTGACACAAATCTGTGGGACGCAAGTGGCACGCCAGCAGCAGCCTCCGCAACCGCAGCTTCGGCAGGAAGGACAGCTGAAGGGGGGGTTTGCTCTTTGTCTTCGGGGAACTCATCCAGGAATGATTCAGGAACATCAACTGCTTGTCCAGCCACTGGTGGTTTGATGGGTTTTTCTGATGATTTGTCCGCAGCAGTGAGGGTGACATCCTGCTGAGATCCTTGTTGCTGAGGGATCTCCTCTGCGCGTTCATGTTGCTTGAGATCAGGTCCCTCGAGCAACGTCTCAGTTTTTCCGATCTCAGCATTGATCTCTTTAAGGCTTGCCTGATTTTGCTCATTCTCCTTCTCTGTTTCAAGCTGGTCGACGAGCTCTTTGACCCTCTCCGTTTGCTCAGCATCGACCTGTCCAAGGAGCTCTTCAGTGTATTCGACTTCAATGTCAGGTTGCTCAAGCGTCTTCTCATTTTCATCGAGTGAATGATGGATCTCAAGGTCTTGGGCAATCTCAAGGACCCGCTCGGTTTGCGCAGTATCAAGCTCCTTGAGAAGCTCCTCAGTTTGTACAGCCTCGGCCGCAATTTCATCAAGGGCATTGTCAGTTTCTTTTAGAGCCTGTCCAGTAATGGCTTCCTCGAATAGCTCCATGGTGCGCTCAAGTTGTTCATTGTTGAGTTCCTTGAGAAGCCTCTCAGTTTGTTCAGTCTCAGCTTCGATCTGTTCGAGAGCGTTGTTGGCCTCAAACTGCTCAAGAGGATCTTCGGTCTGTTCATCCTCGGCACTAGATTGCTCAAGAACTTGCTCGCACAGATCAATCACTTGATCGACGACTTCCTCATTTAGACCCGCTCTCTCTTCGCTTTCAAGCTGATCGAGGACATCCATGGCACGATCAATAATGTAGTCGGAATCGAGCTCCTCAGCTGATTCTTGCACTCTCTCAGGGACAGTGATCGGAGAGATTATCATAACCGCGTTAGGCCGGAACTGAGGCATGGTAGGATCGCGGTACGGAAGGAAGACATTAGGCCGGAACTGAGGCATCGTCGGGTCGCGATACTCGACCCGGTCGAGCTTAGAGACTCCTGAAATTTTGAGGGCTGCATCATCCGCAGCCACCTGGTGAATGCACCCTTCCCTAGGCTCAAAGAGTGCATCATGCTGATCATGGTAAAGCTCCTCCCCCCAAGGGGTTGGGGTGCGCTCAGAACCTGACTCAGAAGATGGCTGAGAGGAAGATTCGGAATCACTCTCGGCAAGTTCATTGGCACCAGTTTCGATGGTGCCAAGCTCTGTAGCGGGTCTGGGATCAACCGGCACAAAAAGAGTGTCAAACTGGTCTTGGGGAAGCTCCTCTGCCTGGGTTCCTTGAGATTGCTCAGTAGCTGGCTGAGACAGGGGTTCACTGGGGTCAAAGTCGACCTCTTCATCTTCAGTCCCGGGATAAGTCTCGCCCACAGGTTCAGTAACAGGGGCATTATCAGGCTGGATGTGTTCAGGAGACTCCACTTCCACAAACTTTGCTTCCGGCATTCTGTCGCGGGCATTGTCAGACTCGAGCGATTCAGCCTGCATGTCTCTAACTTCTTCAGTATCAGGAGCTTCGGTTCCGACACGCTCAGGCTGAGTGGAATCATTGAGCTGCCTGGGAGACTCTGTATTTTCTGCGTTGACTTCTTTAGCTGTATCATCATCCTTCTCAATCTCCATAGGCTCAAGGTTGGTCAGCTCAGCGTTCTGTTGTGTCGGTTGCTCAGCGCCAGCTTGGCCGAGGTGAGGTAACTCCGGACCGTCCCAGTTCGGCTTAAATTGAGGCATTGTTGGGTCATGGTACTCAGCGCTCTGTTGTGTCGGTAGCGCAGAGCCAGCTTGGCCGAGGCGAGGTAACTCCGGACCGTCCCAGTTCGGCTTGAATTGAGGCATTGTTGGGTCGTGGTACTCAACGCTTAGATCATCTCGTGAGGGGGTTTCCGTGCTATCATCTTCAGTGGGTATATCAGGTTGCTCTCCTTGCTCATGGACTGGTTCATCGGAGACAGAGGAAATGGGGGTGCTGTCAAGGATTGAGTTTGGCCGGAATTGAGGCATCGTAGGATCGCAACAGTCAAGATCTCCTTCGCTAAATTTGGTGGTTTCGATCAGAGCCTCATCGATGAGTATTGGTACCGGTTTCTCTTCATACCCAGCCGTCTCAGCCATCATGGTAGAGACCGAGGGGCTGCGGACACTTCTGAATGAGTTGGGTCGGTATTGAGGCATTGTAGGATCGCGGTACTCAGTCTCGTCCTTGCCACGATGAGAGATTTCCTCCTTGGACGCTTCCATGGGTTGTTGAGAGGCAATGCTATCCTCAGTCATTTGAACATGTGACACCAGGGGGGTGGGCGTCGGCTGCAGAAGTACATGAGGCCGGAACTGGGGCATGGTGGGATCGCGGTAATTGGCCTTTTCTTCCACACGACCGCTAACTGCTTCGGTAGGTTCGAATACCTCAAACCCCTCCTCTGTATCCCCACTAACGGCGTAAGAACGAGAGGCAATCTCAAGGACGTCACTGGAACGGAACTGCGGTAGAGTTGGGTCGCAATGCTCAACCGTCTCCACGCCGAGAATTGGAACATCCATCGTGGACATAGAGTCAGGATGAAAAAGCTCAGTGTCGTTTTCCAAGACCTCCTTAGGGGCGAACGGAATGAAGACCGAGGAGGGATCGGGCCAGAATTGAGGAATCGTGGGCTCACGATGCTCGGTGTCCGAATCATCAAAGTGAGGTTTCTCCCCAACGCCAGCATCCCGATTATCGTAGACCTCATCAGAAGCATGGCCACGCTCAACAACGTCTGAGGTGCTGACGAACGGCCGGCCCCGCTCCTCGAAACTGCAAACATATTGGGCGGTCATGTCGGGCTTAGTAGCGTTGACCTCAATCTTCTCGTCTTCTTGGAAATCCGGAGCTTCAACGGCAGTCCCAACATCCTCAACGTGCTCGACGTGCTGGACATCATCGACAGCTTCCACAGCATCGATATCTGCCGCTGTTTCAACCGTACCAAATGACAGCTCGTAATCCTCCTCGATATCAGGAGTCCGCTCTACAGTAGCCACAGCCACAGCCACTGACTCGTCAGCCTTGTCGACCTTTGGAAAGGTCACCTCCGACTTTTGAGCATCGGGAGCGTCCTCAAGCGGAAGGGGGGCTTCGGGGAGTATGTGGGTATGATCATTATCTTGAATATCGGGAGACTCTGCCGCTAATTCAGGGCCCGCGGAGACATTGATAGCATCAGACCTAGAGTCCAGAGCTTCAAAAGGTTGGAGGTGATTGGTGTCTACCAATGAGTGAGGCCGGTCCGTCTCTTCAAACACCCAATCTGGTTGCCTGAGGCTATTCGGTGTTTCATCAGTAATTTCGATTGTGTCATTATCGGAAAGAACATCTTCCTTGGACTCGACGGGCACTGGTACGGGACCGAAGGTATTCTCTTCGTCCTTTGATTCAAGGTCCGATGGCTCCCGAGTTTCAGATTCATGAATCTCTACGTGCGCCACCAGTGTACTCCCGTTAACGTCCTGATTGTTGGACCCAGGATGCTCTGATGCGGAACCGACGGCACTTGTCGTCCATGGAAAGAAAACATGATGACCTTTGGTACTCGCGCCGGTAGCTTTGTTGGTATAAGAGATGTGAAGTGATGCGAGGGTATTGATCATGTCTGTTTCCTCTTGATCTTCGACGAGTGTTTTTGAGCCCGCGGGCGAGATACTGTCACCCTCTGCTAGTTCAGACCACTCCTTGTCATGTTCGGAGACAGACCCTTCGCTTGATGTGTCCGTCTGAACCATAGTTTCCCTGGCTTCCATGGGCTCCCCTGATACTTCGAAGGTAATGTGATTTGCAACCGAAGGCTCGGAGACGTCACCGAAGAAATCCGCGGACACATTCTGGTCCAGATCCTCAATGGGGCGTTTGGCGCCATCCTCGCCTGTTTCAGATGCCTCTGCTTCAGGGCTGGACTGCGCTGGCTTGGGCTCCTGAGCAGCAAGCTCAGCGAGAGGACTTGTTTCATCTCTTGAAGGTGCGTCGACACTCTCATCTTCAGAGACTTTACCATTGCAATCTTGGGTGACTTCATCCATTGAAGGGGGCTCGTCACGGATTTCGCTTGCGACAAGGTCAGCCTCGTAATTATCCGGCTCAGCAGTCTGATCTTCGGGGCCGGATTGAAACGCCTTCACAGTCGGCTGGATATCATGGGCAACCTCCTCGGTGGAGGTAGGGGGCACATCATCCACATCGGATCCTCGTGTGTCGCAGTCCTGGCCATGTTGATGCTCGGCTTTGTCTCCCTCGGGCCCGGACTGGGTAATTGCCGGTTCCGCAACCAGCCCATTCAGGTCGTCGGCAGGGTTATCAACTAGAGAGACGGTCGCGTCGTTTGCTTCACTCGCGTGAATAGCAGAGCCAATGATATTCGCGACTGGTTTGCTTTCGGCAAGAGACTCGAAATCCTTGAAATAGTCGGTCTCAGTCGCATTCACCCGATCTTCATTCTGGACGACGGGAGCATTTTGCACTTCGGTCCCTTTATCTGAAGCCAACCTTGTTTCCGAATTCGCATTGCGGGCATCCACAGAGACCGTTGTCTCATGACTGGGCTGCGGCGGGCGGATAGCAGTTTTGGGGAAGTCCGACTCTTCAGACAGAGTCTCATTGGACAGTGGTGCAGGCTCGGTTCCGAGTTCTCGATTCTCGGAAGCCAATGTCTCGTCCAATATTATAGGCTCCGATTCTGTTTCTAGGTAAAAGAGTTAGATTATTGTGTAATACAGAGAATAATCGTCGTGGTGGTGGTGGCTCACTGTGCAAATCTGACGGCGCCGTCGTGGTGTCTTTTACCGAAGTGGCCGTTGCGGTAGCATCATAAGACACTGACTTTACAGCTTCTTCATCGGACTCCTCGGCTACTTGCTCGGGCTGTATAGTGTGGTCCTTAGGCGTTAACACAACAGATCGCACGTCATCTTCCGAAGGCTTCAAAACTTCCATCCCTGCCGCGACCGAAGCGCCCACCGTAGTCACCCCCGTCCCAACCTCGGGCTCTTCGGGCTCGGATTCAGGTTCAAAATCGCTCGAGGTATTATCCTTCAACTCCAGATGTCTCACATGTATCGGGCTTATTAGCAAGCTGTGCCTTGGCGAAGACTCTCCACCTAAACTCAATGCAGGTGTAGACGGTGCCGTCGAGTATGCATCCGCTCCGGGGCTCGCCAACCAGTGGAAAGGGTTAGGGGTGTCGGTGCTTCGTGCCGTAAGCCCCGGAGTGAGCAATTGGTGCGGGAACTCTTTGGCATCCTCATAAAGCTGCGGAGTATCCATCACAGGTCGTTCCAAACGATCAATAGACCATCGCGGTTCTGTCGGTTGTGGATATGTTTCGAAAATTTTGGATGCAATCCCGTGCCTGTTCGCCAGGTTGGGAGTTGCTGCTTGGAATGGTCGAGGTTGTTCAACAGATCCTCTTGCGGAATGAGTGGCGTCATAGCTACCTAATGGATTCGACGTCATCGAACGCGTAGGGCGATGCAGCGTCCGACCGCCGCTTGCTTCCGTGACGGTGTGAGCTCGCATCAACTTTGGCTCTACAGGTGCCACGGGCACTGCATTAGTACTTTTGGACGAGGAAGACCTGAAAAACCGTCGCCTGGAGCTCGACTCGCTTTTGATATCGGTCTTCACATCGCTTTTCAAGTCGCTTTTGGAGTCCTTCGATTTGAACATGTTGGAAATTTTCTTGCCGAGGCTGAACCTCTTCTTCGAGGACTTTGTTGATGTTGCTGGGGTGGGAGATACCGGTCTCGCGGGGGCTTCGGGAAAATGTGGGATATTAACGGAGCAGCTGTCGTCTTGGCTGTTCAGACTGGATCTGCTGCTAGCAATAGACCGTAGACTTTGCCTTAATGATGATGTGGAGCGCCGTTTGAGTGAGAATGCTCGTTTGACGAAGGATATTGGGTTGTCGTTTACTCGCTCGGTCGAAGTCTTTGCCGATAAAGGGGGAAATTCTAGTGATGGTCCGTTTTGTCTCTCAGGCCACTCGACTGAGAGGCCCGGCGAGAGCGGAACCTCGATTGGATGAGGGTGTCTCTCTTCCTCTTCCAGCGCAATGTCGTCGATCGAGCAGGTGTCCTTAAAGATCATGTCGATATCCTTCTGGATTCGTTCCTTGAGTCTGGACGTCAGGACAGACCCTTCTTCCTCGTGTGATTGGAAAGTCTCTTTTAACCTTTCGGGTATCTCATGTGTTTGTATCACCTCTTTGAACACCAGATGTCCCCGCTTCCGTGCGTTGACACGTACAGCGGTATTATGCCCCTGTAGGACATCGCCGATGCTAGTCTGGATACGGTCTAAAACCGCCTGGATGTCTCGTCGCCCGTGCGATGCAGAAGGCCCGACTGTGAATGCCGCAGGTACCTGAACTGACCAGTTCACCCCTTTCAACTCACATATCGTGAATTCGAAATCGTTCGTTTGGTTGATCTGGGCATCGATGACCTGTGTGACATCTGCAAGGGACTCCTCAACATCTCGCACAAAATCTTCGCCATGAGAATCGTGAAATAATGAGAGACTGCTTCTTATGCTGCGCTGTAGGCTGTTGTGAGCAGGCCCCATTCCGTTTGAGATCCTCACGTCGATATTGAGGGCCGTACTGTCGCGATGCTGGCATGTCATTGTTGTACATTGCTGCGCATGAATTTCAAGCCTCTGCCTCCTGGGACCCAAGCTGCGATTAATAGCCTCTGCTGCGTTCGCCAGTAGATCTCTGCCCATCTCAGCCGTAAGAGGAGTCGCCTGTCTGCTGTAAACCTTGACTGCCCTCTTGAATGCCGGAATAAGTCGCCGTGGGTTCCTGTGTCGAAGGGAGACCTCGATACTGTAACCGGGGACGAATTCGAATGTCTGGGACTCCTCGAAAAATCGGGGTGAGGGAATAGCGACAAGCGACATCTGCCCAACTTCTGAGTCTAGAGACGAATCGGCGGTTTCGGGTGTCGCATCGAGAACAGAGCCCCCCAGCCATCGAAAGTCACTGTCATGTCGTCGGAAAAACATGCCTACCGTCTGGTGACTTGCGATGATAACCTCCTTGGCCGACGCGGCTGTTAAAGGCCGTTGCTGATACGACCTGTACGTCCTGACGGCCCATTCCCCCATCCATCCAGCTCTTGTGACGCGATAGGTGAGTTCGAAGCGCAATGGCTTACGGTCATGGGATCCTTCCTTGATCATGTCAAGGGCCGTGGGGTCGGTCCGGGTGATGAGCTCCTCGGAGCAGTGCTCGATGCGGCGAAGCAAGCCATTGCATATCCTCCCCGTAGGTTCGAAGTATGGCGAGCTAACATATGTCTGGTTGTGAGTGACGGAGTGAAGGTCCTGATCGTGGAACTGGATATGGACGTGGACGACGAGAGGGCCGGTGTTTGTTGTCTCTGCTAGCGTCGCTACAGCGGGTTGTTCCTCTGTAATGGGCGATAGCAGGGCCCTCTCCAGTTCCATGGTCAAGTGAGGCGTGGCAGTGTGTGTGTCGATATGGCGAGGCTTTGGGTGAGGACCGGCAGGAGCAGGGGCTGGAGGTTCGACGACAGGAGGATGTTGTTTTTTGGATCTCAGTGAAGCCCCGAGGCTCCGGCGAGACGAGTCCCACCATGCCATTCCCTCGGCAGCGTGGAAGTGGTGATCCAGGATCTATCCTTGGTAGGCGCGGACGGGGTCGTGAAGAAATGTTCGCATGAAGCTAGCCGACTAGGGCGTCCTAGGCGTCCACCGGCGTCTAGGGCTGCCAAGCCGGGAATGGAGACGGTGGCCGACGAGCCCCGGACGGGCCTGATGCCCTCGAATGGAGCTTCCCTCTTGCTCAAACGTCGTCGACCTTGGACACAGCTTGGCCATGGGCCAATGAGGGCGGCGGTAACGGTACAATTAGACTAGGCGGGTGGGGTTGGAAGGGTTTAGATTGCGGGAGAAGTGGAAAGTGGACAGGAAAATCGGTAAAATCCAGGGCCTGTCTTGCCTGTCCGGATCCATAGACCCATGGAGATGTTGGGGGATCGATGGAGGGATGATGCGGGTGCTTGTCAAGTCCTCGTGAGGTTGTGGATTTGGCCGCTGCTGTAGTGTATGTACTGCGTAGTCTGGTTGAAAAGAGCTTCGTAAGAGGCAGCTTAAGTTGGCTTGAGTGGTTGGAGATGTACTAGTAAGGACGGGAGTTCAGGAGCAAGTAAACAATGGGATGGGATGGCATCAGAAGGCAGAAGCAATAGAAGAGAAAATGAAAGAGACATTGAACCAAGACAAGATGGAAGACAGTTCCGGATCAAACTGAACTAAGCCAGTGTGTTCCTAGCCCGTTGGATCACACGCTAGGTATTGACGAGACGAAGAGTGAGATGAAAGGAACTGAAGACGGCTCCCACCACATTAGGCAGTCTACCGACCTAACGTTGGTTGAGGTTGGATCTCCATATCATTTTTGTTCTTCGACATACAAGTACGTACGCAAAGTAGCAAAGGGGGGAGGGCATAAATTCTTGCAGATTGCCGCACAATGTGGTCACTCGTTGAAGCGTCTGTCGGCCGTGCATTGGCACCACGGCAGACACTCTTGACAGCTGAGAAAAGAATCCGTCCAGAGAAGCTGACGCGAGGCAGAAATTGTCGCAAATCCTTCCTTCCATTCCGATTGCCCGGAAAAGTGGCAGCACCATGCTCACACTCGCAACTGCCATCTTTAGCAGACGACGGAGGGGAGGGGACTGGCGGGTTGGATCGGAATAACAAAGTTTAGGTTTTCTCGCTTCTTGCTTCTTTGGGCAGTAGCCTGACACGTTGTCGACTTTGGAGCCGCGTCTGTGTGGAAGGTACCCCTGTGTGCCCATTCCCTATCGAGAACGTGATACATACCTCTACCTAGGTTACCATGCAAGTTCGCCTTATCTTGCAATTTTTTTGTGATTCAAACTTTTTTTTCCCCTCGCAGCTAACGCAGGCTCGCAGGTCGTTCCTGCGCTTTTTTCGGCTGTGATTTACTTGAACCCTGGAAGGTGCATTCAACCCAAGAACAGGCGGTTTTGTGTCTTGTCTGACAGAATGGAAGTCCTCAACATGTACAGGCCTTCTGGAGCTTGTATCAAGACATGGAGGACTTGGGATACGACAGAGTTCTCGAGGAAGTTGGGCGTCACTGAGGTTTCACAGGCACCAAGAGCTGTCAGAAATATCAGATGGAAATCTGGGACTCTGCGATCACATCCCACGTTTCACAGGTCCATGCTGATGAGGATGATGCTGGATCCTCCAGAGGCCGTCGTCAGTGTCGCACAGGCGAAATCGTGGTTTGTTTTCTGCTCTCACGGGTTTCATTCCTTCTCCGAGTTTCCTTCGGCACAAGTCGCTCTTTTTTTGGAGGAGCCTCAACCTGCAGAGACTGCCACGTCGGGTCCCAGGTGGGCAAGGCGGGGTTTCATCGCGTCGTCGCCCCTGGTGCTAGCCGGTGGGGCAGATAAACGCTGGAATACCCTGGAGTCTTTGGAGCGCATGGCACGGAGAAAACCTCGAAATCGTCAAGTCAATGCACACACAACGGCCGGCGTCCCTTCGTCGATGTTGTTGCAAACCAAAAGGATTCCTCTTGAGGGGAGCTCTTTCCTTCCAAGTCCAGGTGTTGGAAAAAGGGGAAACTGGCTGCATATCTGGGACCACCACCACCACCACCAGCAGCAGCAAGCGCAGGTACAGCTCGCGGGTCGCTGTTCCCAATGACGTTCTGGAACGTCTTGTTCGCTCGTTTACAGCCAATGGCGGGCACAGCCGGCCGCGTCCGGGACAAATTCCACTGGCCGAGTCTCCTCAACCCGTGATGCGGTGCCAGGGCGAGCAAGTGAAAAAGACGCAAGTGGGCCCGGCCAACTGTTAATGGCCAAGTGCTGCCGGTCGTGGCCGACTCCGGATTTCGTCCTTTCAGCTTCTCCGCACCGCCGCAGGAAGCTCGGGCCTGCTCGGGCTGCACAGCAGCAGTCGCGCCAGCGAGTCCAACTGTCCAACAAGCAAGCCTCAGCTGTCCAGTGACATCAACAGACACTTCCACTTCTCTTCCTACTCATTTCGACACCGACATTTCGGGACCTTGATCGTGGCATCCTGCCCACGAAAGCACAAGTAGCACAATTTACCCCAGAAGGCGTGCATGGCAACATGCTTCACCGGCATACGAAGTACCGATACATACAGCGGCCATGGATGGATGCGGGACATGCTGCGGAAAGTCACATTTGACGGCATTCATCTGCCCATGTCTCTACCCCGGATTCCCGCTGTCGTGATTACCTATTGCCAAGTAAAAGGGCTCCCATTCGTGAAACAAGGGCACGGTTGGGGTAAAATCTAGAGGGTTAGGTGAGAAGGTGTGAGAGACGTCGTCGTCTATCGGTAGGGACACCTTGACTACGGCACGGTAACTTGACCATCAACTTGATCTCCCTCTAAGTATTCAGTTGTCATCAAGCCAATTAGCAAAAATGGGGATGACTTGTATCGATGATTTCCACTGTTGCCGCTCGTCTGTGCGCTACTACATACGGTACCGGTAGTGTGCCTCTTGTATACCTCTAAAGCCTTGCACTTCGTTGAGGCCTCTCTCTTCCCCTCCCTCTGGCTTGAACCGGCCTCCAGCATCCTACCAAAGGCTGATCGCATACCCATTAAAAGACATATCGTCAGATCCAAGTTTCGTGCGTTCCATCTTCCATTCTTTTGTGGTCCATCTACCACCATTCCGCTTCCTCAGACGACCAAGAGTCAGAAACTCTACACCTAAACAACAGGGCATTTGTGTTACCCACCAGAGAGCCAACATCTCGCTCGGAATTGTACTACAGTCTCTCTGTCTCAACGAACGAATCGCCCTTTCACACATACAAACAAGGCAAGCGGTCGGCCCGTCAGCCAGTCGCCGTTGCCCGAGTCATCATGCATCCGTTGCCTGACGTTGGGCATATCGGGCATCCTCTGCCTACCTCTGCCCTCCTCCTCTCTCCATCTGGTCGGCAGGTCAAGATATCGCTGACTTGACGCTACAGTACCTTCTTTCCCCAGCTCGGCGTAACCATGCGTGAAGTCATCCTTCTGTCCGGCTTGAGTTACATTTGCTGGCATGATGACAAGCTTTCAGCTCGTTTTTGCACGTTTGACATGGGAGTTTAGGAGTCAATGGGAACTCGCAGCTCCCATCCACTGGGAGTCACACTATCATTCGTTCGTTTCCTATCTACATAGTTCATCCGTTTGGCTCCCATTCCCCGGGACCCTTCAGAACATTTTACTTTTCCTCATTTGCCGTACCTATCGCCCGCAGTGCCGAATATAGACACCGGTTTCAAAGCTCGCTTCAAAGAATGAGCCTACAATGCTGTCATTATCCCAAAATGTCCTCACCAACAACAAATCAGCTCAACTGTCCGCCTTGTTCGCCTCGTCCTGGGCATTCTTGCAGTCCAAAACCGAGCGGAAGAACCCTTTTTCAGTGGCTGCTATCTGTCTTCTCGTACGTTGAGTTGACGGAACGGTAGACTTGGCGTTTATAGATTGTAGGCCTCAGTACATCGAAATCATGCAAAGTGCAAAATCAGGAAGGAAGGGCAGATCTTCAACGGTAAGGCGTTTTGGCGGATTATTGAGAGAACGGCCTCTCGCATTTCATCTCAGTGGATGTAGATATTTGAAAATCGAAAGTTCGCCGTTTCATGAAACTGAATTCTGCAAACATCTTGTCTGCTTCACAGAGTTTCTGTGGTTTCCGAAAACTTCGACGGGATCGCAAAATCCCGTCCAAAGAGGTATCCCCATACCTCTAAAGTATTCATTCGCTCCATCAGAACCCAATAAAATTCTCGCTTCGATTTACATTTCTTCAACTCGCCGGGCTACTTTCCAGTCAAAAGACGCCAACAGGGAAAACATGAGCAAGAAAAAGAACAAGAACAAGAACAACCCAATCGTCGGCGAATTTGCCCGCTACTTTGGCGAGAACACTCTCGAGAACTGGCAGCGTTTGTGCCGGGACATTGGCATCCACAAGGAGCTTCCAAGCATTACTAAATGTCGCGAGGTACGTTTCGTTTACTGGCTTCTATTCTCTTCACTCACACCTCTATTCATCTTTGTCCCCAATCCCCCCAACCCCCCCTTCAGGCTCTGATCAACCAACATATCCTCCTTCTCCCCTCCTCCTCGCCATAAATAATGCCCGACTCTGACTCTGACCTCTATTTCTCCTTTACATATAAAGGTCCTGAGAACGGTCCATGTCAACATCTACGACCTCCTAGATGCCGTCCGGGAGGGAGCCACCCCGCAACGCTTTGGAAACCCCCGCCAGCTGGCGCAATACTCGGTTGCCAACAGAAAGATCTATCCGAGGCACATGGCGGAGAAGGATAAAGTGGGACCAGTTAGGGTGTTGTTGAGGGGCCTCTTTAGGGAGGGTTGATATAGGGTAGCGCGTATTTGGATGGTTGCTGAATGGAGATGGGGGGAGGAAGGCTGTGAAAGGGAGAACATAAGAGGGATGTGGAAGGGATGTAATACGCTGGATGATGATGGGATGGAATCTGATGGATAGGTATGTTCCATGGGTTAAGGAAGGGCATGTGAGTGTTGAGTGACTTGAAAGAAGAAGAATATGGTAGGAGTCTTTGGCGATGTGCCCAGGTTTCTTTTATGTAGAGAGTCCTTGTGTGAACTGAGCGATTGGCTAGTCAATCCTCGATGCTTTCCGTATTCAACGACGCAATTCATTGGATAGACAGTTGGATAAAGTGCCTTTAATTTTTCCATCCAAGGTCATCCACCGTTTGCTTTTGCTGCGAGAAAGCTGTTCGCTGTTGCTTTTTTTTTGCTGCTGAAAGTTGGGGCCAGCGGAAACCAGCATTTTCTCTGTCCGTCCACCCGTTTGTCACTCCTCCCGTAATTCTCATTCCCGTTTTTCTTCCTTTCACAACGGATATCGTGTTACTGACCTTCCGGCACCAACAAAAGTCCCATGTTTAAAAGGCGGAATGCCCGTTCTTCATGATCTGTGAAAACAGGATGCCAACAACAACACTTGACAGTAGTTTCTGGACACGAACTGAAATTTCTTTATCCACGCCGCTTCCATCTTCCCAAGAATCCCCCCTTTTACATTCTCTTCTTAACAACCATGCGACGCAACCCCGTCCCTGACTGCATCATGATGAGAACATCTGCACACCTGAGAAGACTTATCATCATCCAACTTTGACGTGCCGGAGATGAACCAACCCAGCCAGCCCACCACATCAGCCCCGGTCAGCGTACCATACGAGCAAGGACCGACCGGCCTCTGTCTCTCTTGTCATCAGATCAAAAGTCTAGTGTCCACCCATCATAATTCCTCCTTCGACTCATCATCAATCATCATGACGAGTAAAAAGAAGAGACCCGCTCCTCCCCAAAGACAGGATGTCATTGTCCGATGGAAGAACTACTTTGGCGCCGGTGATCTTGAAGATTGGCAGCGTCTGTGTCAGGACCTGGGGTTGGATGGTGAATTGGGCAGCAAGACAAAATGTCGAACGGTATGTATATGCCCCTACAATTGCTGGACCCATCTGCCGCTTGTCTCACCCTTTTTTTTTTTCCTTTCCTTTTTTTTCTCCCCATGTTGTGGGTTTGTACGGTATCTTTTCATCGTTCATAGAAGGCAACACTTTGAGTTGGTTGGACAAGAATTCAGGTTAAGGGACTTAAAAGACTTGAAGAAGCAACCAAGGAAAGAGACAGAAAGAAATGAACGCAAATGTAGTAGGTACTAATGCTTCGCGATTCAATCAGGCTCTTAAAAGCATCAACGTCAACATCTGGGACTTCCTCGATGCCGTCGAGGTGGGGAACATCCCGCAAATGTTCCTCACCAAGAAGGAACTTGTCAAGTACACCTCGAAGACTGGACGGATATTTCCCAGAGATGAAGCGAAGGACATGGGGCCGGTGGCAGCTCTGCTGAAAATCTTGCGTTAGGTTATGGGTTGTGGTGCTTGAGTGGCCGAGATATGTGGACAAAGGGAAGCTGAAAAGGGTGAAATGTCTTGTGGTGGTATGGTTGTCGAAATACATGGGCTGTCTGACTTTTATGTGTCTAGACAATACCTACTGAAGCGTATGTGCCTCCAGAGTGGTTCTGTGTGAAACGGCTCAGGGACCTATTTGTGAATATGTGGTTGTTGGTGCATTAGAACCTAAGTATAGCTCCTTGTTCAAGAAGACCTTGGTGGTACGTAACCGATGAGCGTCTGGATGCTCACGGAAGGGTTCCGCATTGTCTTCCGCATGCAATCTAGCAACGCCTCATCTGTTTTGGGAGGTTTCAGCTTCATGCCATCCCTTTACGGCTAGAGGTATTGCTGCAACCGAGGTGACCAATTACGATGAATAACCTAAGTCCGATGGAGTGATGCTGGTGGCGTACTTTATCACAGGAAGTCAGTTTGTCATTGCTTGAGCAACTCGGTGTAAAGAGGAGTACTACTGCGTACACTAGAGGAGAGAGCGACTTGACCTACACTCGTCTTCCTCAAGAACCCCTATCATGCCTTAAACCTGCCTCAAAACACCCTCCCTTCCTCTGTAGCCACTCGTCTATAATCTATGTGACATGTTATCACCAGCTTGATTTAGGACGATCAGTACCACCAAGCAAAGCAAAACAGTGTGAAAGTCCAAATGAAACCTCACCGACCCTCTCTCTCCTCCGTCATGGCATCGCTTCCCATCCCACCACCATCCCGAAAACCGACATCCATTTTCCCAATCTGGACTTCGAAGAATCCCATCCAGGTCGTAATGAGAAATCTCTAAACAGCAGCCTAACGATCATCGGAAATTGCCTAGGCCATGTCAGACCCCATCTACCGTTGCCCAACACCCACTGATTATCTCAACGTCCGTCGATCGCACAAGGACCTCGCTAAGGCAGACCTCTCTCTCTCTCTTAGCGCCAACAACACCGAACTCTTCCGAACCCGAACAAGAGACCTCGCTTTTCCCTTCCTGATTCAGGGGAAATTAGACGAACGGACTGTGGCCTCGCTCAAAGCCAACCCATTTGCCGAACAAAACAATAGCGTCGCCGAGATCTATCCATGTCCGTCTGTCCGCCCATCCAAGACATTTCTTCCCCCGTACCTTGATTTACCATCCTTGCTTAGTCTGAGTCTTAACGTACTGTGGTTGGGTAAAGAGGCCATGGGTCACGTTGCTGATGATCTCTGGCACTGGAGTGGCCATACAGAGTCACGAAGCTGTGCTCTAACTGGTCCGTGCCCGATACCTGACAGGGAGGCAAAAGTTTTGCTCGTAACCACAGTATGTACACTAGTAGGCGGCTCCATCATGAGGTGGTGATGCGGCGACGCGATTGTTCGGTACGCAACAGACACGCATGTGCAATGCCCCGTTAACTTTGCAGCACTCATCTTTGACCTGTACCGTACCGTTCAGAGATATGGTAATGTCCATACAGAGTAGTATCCCGCTGCGCGGTGAATTCTGCTTCTTCATATGAATACCACCTGAGCAAGCGGGCTTATGTCCACGCATACCTTACCATGGAGCCAGAGCTCAAAAACTGGAATTGCATCATCCCCGTATCGTGGAAGAACTGCCATTAGTAATCGACGCTGTCTCCGGACCGAAAAGCAGAGACAAACTCTCGGCAGTTCAAAAACCACGGCCCGTTAATGCAGATATCTTCTCCTTTCTCACAGTGTTTGCATGAGGAGAAAAGTGAGCGAGTTCACCTCTGCATGGATATACTATGCAGTAAAAGGGGAGCGCAGTACAGCCAAGGCGCTGGTGGCGCTACAGAAAACCGGGGTTGTAGTGTTAATGATGAAAATTGCCCCTTCTCGTACGGACTGCCATCTCTGGAGACCTTGTTACCCTCAGAGATCGCCCGATTCACCGCGCTGTGTACCCTTTTATGTCCACGTCGAGGTGTAGCAATCTCTTCCAGTTTCTTGTGGCACGCGGTCGGGGCCGATTCGGCAGCGCACCGCATCCGGTTTTCTGGTATACAAAATCAGAACCAACAGACCCTCAGCTCCATGATTGCTGTGTACTGCAGTAGATCCGGGGGCTTTGTGATGTTTTGCGGCATAACCCGGCGCTTCATGGTCAACGCTATAACCACGATGACGATCTTAACGAAAATGTCCCTGTTCGTGCATTCTTAGTGTACTAACGGATGCAATAGCAGTTGGAATGCGTCCATGATCCTGGAAACCTAAACGGGTAACATAGCTCTGCGGCCCGGAGCGTGAAGAAGACATGCCACCGATGTTCTGGCTCATCGTACCATAGAACTGGGTTCGCGGGGCTGTACGGTTTGTCAAGGTCGGGAGATTGGCTCTGATTGAAACGGCTGAGTTGTCCGTCGATTGGTAGATGAAGATGGGCGTAGAGGATGAGTAAATCGGATATCTCGATTGGGCTGGAATGTCGACATGGTTAAGAGGTTGAGAGGGCAGTTGTGTAGGTACCTCACTCCGACCATTGGATACACCGTAAAAGGAGAAAGAATCTAATTTAGATGGATCTCGCCAAGCATCATCGATTGCTTTTCTCATCAGGATTTCTCCATCCGCCCATGCTGCTTCAGAATGTCAATATCATGGTTTATAGTTCCTTACCGGAGTCGCCGAGTCTCTCGGTTTCTCCATGATTTTGAGCAATGTTGTTTTCGAAAAACACCGGTCTGGATCTCGAGGTGTATCTGACAATAACACTGTATCATTAGCATCCGTATAAAGGCAAAAAGAAAGCTGTCAAGTCGAACAGAGATGACTCTGAGGCCTTGATGCAACAACATTGTTGACGCTGTCTAACTTCGATCAATGTCGAAAGTTCGGTCAAAAAACCCTCCACAGCTGACCCCTTTAGCTACAGAGGCCGGATGTCGACTTGGAACCAGCCTAATGTGGCAGCCCCTGGGGGCTAACGCAAAGCTAACGACCTGCAATTGCGTAACATCGAGAAGAGATCGTCGGACTAAACAAATACCGAAGTTTAATAAGATAGGATTCGAGTCAGTCAGCCTCTGGGGAAGCCTGTGGCCGGTGTGGCGGATATACTAGAGTAATGCTCCGGATTCTTTCGTAACGCTTGGGGCATCGACCGTCCATTCATCAATTCGATGCAACCTCCATTTGAACCCTCTACCCTTAGAGCCTCAATGGTCAACGTTTGCCGCGTTACAATCCTCCAGAGCAACTTTGGAAGCTTGGGTGTGCAGATGAGGATGCCATTCAGCATGTAACTTGTTTTGCTCAAATGGAATCAGAAGACTATGACGGGATGGCTTCGAAAAGAAAGGTCAAATAAAACTTGGAGAAAGGGATCTCGCCAAGACCGAGTTTAGCCCACCGTACAGTGTTGATAGTGTAGTGTCCCGAATGTCACGCCCTGATCAGCTGCAACGGGAAGACCGAAGAAGAAGTAGTTACTCCGAAGTTGTCGACGCCGGGCTCTTGGCTTCTCTTAATTTGGGCGGATAGAAGCGCCCGTTCAGTGCCTGTATTGAGGTCACCGAATTGTTGCGCTCCGTTTAGTAGCTATATCTATGATTTCTCAGTTCAGCATGTATGCAGTGTTATGATGTTGCTCTTACCATTACTATCCCCCCGAGACGGTTTGTCGGTGTGCAGACAGGCCGTTGAGTAGGGCAGTGGTTGCTGAAAAGATTTTGCTTGACGAGCAAAGGCTTCGTCAGCGAACGGAGAACAATAGAAGACTGTGTGAGCGGGCACGCGGGATAGAGGGTTAGTCTTGATGGGTCGACACCACCTGGGGCGCCAGGAAGCGCTAGGCTAGTACATAGTGTACCGTCGGAAGCTGTCGAGGAAAGTGAGACCTCTTCATCCTGAATATCCTCACTGTACCGCTCGGTTCTATTTCCCTTTCCAGTCTGATATCACTTGGCTGGGGTCGGGATCAGAGACACCCGAACAGGCCTTCCCTGTCGTTCACCATGACCCAAGAACCGGGGTACTGGTTTCGTGAACACTCTTCGGATGCACACCAGGGACATGGGTTGCGATCAGAAGGCGCGGACCGATGTGCCCCCCTAAAACTCTCCGACAGCACTTGGCGGGAAATGATTGGGAGACAAGGCGGTGAAGGAGGGGATGGTATTTCGACGTCTGCACTATCGATTTTTGTCGAGAAGCTGATGGGCACTAAACTGATGCCTGCTGATATTGTTAGCATCGTTAGGCATTCTCTGAAGCTGGCTTGTAACCTCTGTGGCACAGATACTGGCAAGGCTCTTGTCCTCGAAGCCAGACACCGCGTGCATCACGTTAAGCCCACTCAGCCCGACATTGCTGGAGGTCGCCCCTCTTACATATCAAACACCCAAGCCGCGCTCACCAAGGCGCGACATCATCCCATCCTGAGTGTGACAAGATATCCCTGCTTTTGTTGAATTTGACATTAATCTTCCCAGCCGCCCGTGCACAGCAATTCGTCGCAACCGCCATCATGAGCTGGGCAACAGAGGGCAACGCGCAGCCGATTTCGTGCTTGGAGTGTCGTCGTCGGAAGCAGAAGGTAAGTTTTAAGGCGCTTTTGATGTTGGACACCTCTAGTCTCTACGAGGTCTCCGAGACCCAACGATCACGCCTGTCTAACCTTGAAATTAGTGTAATCGTCAGTTTCCATGCAACCACTGCTCCAAGAGAGGAGTCGCCCATCTTTGCAGATTTGTTCCAAAGAAAGCCAACAAAAGCGATACAGCCTCTGACGATGGCTCATCGAGGTAAGCCATATCATAGCTAGACAGCTTAAGAGGCAATGGGAACTTTTTTCTGACAGTGGCGTTCTCTTCAGTGTGTCCAAGAAACGGGCTTTAGAATCTCCCGAAGAGTCCTATTTTGATGAGAACGGCTGCCAAGACGGCGAAAACGACGAGGCCGACGAGGCCGATGCTCTCAATGCCCTTGGCTATATGCCACACATACACCACGTGTTGCTTGGTAAGACAACCAAGGGTACGGCCGATGTGGACGATGAGCCTGTCCAGTCGAAGGAACTGCAAACTGCCATCATGTCAATGCCTGCCAAACCATATATGGGTATGCCACTTACCCTTCGATTTTTTCCGTTGTGCGCGAGATTGTGCCTGACCTTTAGCAGATTGTTTGGTGGATAACTGGCTCAATGGTGCAAACCATCACTACTACGCTTTGTATCGACCTCAGTTCAGGACCCAGTATGATGGATGGTGGGCGACACCCGCGAACAAGCGTACAACAGAGTTGACCAGTTTAATCCTGCGGGTTTGTGCCTGCTCGGCCTTGTACATCTTGGACGCTGGCGTCATGGACAGGCTAGAGCGTGAGCTTGGGACTGATGCATTGACACTTGCTACCACCTTGCACACAACAGCGGAGAATCTTAGTAAAACGGTACCTTCTGGGAAAGGGGGCCTAGCCCATGTCCAGCAGCTCTTCTTGACCGCTTTCTGGTACAAGTCGGCCGAGAAATGGACCGAAGCGTGGCATGCCCTAGGAACTGCCATTCATGCAGCATATGAGATAGGACTTCACCAGGATTCTTTATCTGATGGCATGTCAGAGTTTGACCGCGAGATGAGAAGACGTGTTTGGGGTATCCTGTATTTATGGGACTTGTAAGTCAAACAACCCACCCCAGCCAACCGTGACTGTGCTAACAGATGGGCAGCGCCTTGGGTTCGATGCTTTCTCGGCCATTGCTCGTGAACCACGCCGACTGCACATTCGTAGAGCCAACGTTAGCTCTCGACAGAGACCTCGAAAACCCAGATAAACCGTCTCCGTATCTGCACATGACTCTCCACAGTTCCCTGTGCTTGAGGATGGCAGCAGAACTCAAGGCCGTGCCGTCCGACAACTCCACCCCGACGGAAATGAGTAAGACCTTGATGAGTAAGGCTTTGAAAGACATTGTACAGAAGTGGATGGACGAGCTGCCCGCTGCATACGCTCTCCAAAACCCAGACACTCAATGGGACGCGGAGAATGACTGGATCGTATTCCAACGTCGCTATCTTCACCTCATCGGCCACATGTGCTTGTTCGATCCTCTCAAACAATTCGTAACTCGAAGTTCTGCAGAGCCATTTTCTGACTTGGAGCTGGAACTTCGTGAGTCGGGTGTGTTAGCCGCATTGGGCCTCATGGAAGTATCTCGAACGTTCTTCGATCATCTCGCGTCTGCCGGCGCAAAATTCCACTATGCCGTCTTTTGCATCTTTGACACCACCACTGTCTTGTGTTCTGGATTGGTCCGTGACGAAGCTCGGAATTTGCCACATCGAGAAACTGTCCTTGAATCCATCAAGCGCGGGTTGAGTATGCTGCACGAGTGTACCGGCGAGTCAAAGACGACATTGAGCCTGTGCCGGATTCTGGAAAAAATGGTTGCAAATTTGCCACTTAGCTATCGGGAGAAAGGACTAATGGGGTCCAACAAGCGAGTGAAGTCCAAGAGCACGTCTCCGAGTGTTTCTCCGGCTGCTGGTGGGCTCGAAGTCGCGGACACTGCTCGGCAGGGCAGGAGTATCGATTCGGCCATCCACTTGGTTGAGGAACCTCGTCAAAGCGATAACATCGGCAGCAATGTTTCCGGCGAAGCCTCAGCCGTCATCGACAACAACTCGGCTACACCCGAGGCAGCAGTAAGAGATGATGCTGGGCCAAATCATGCAGAGCCCCTCCAGGTGTGCGGCCTGCCGCCGCCGCCGCTGCCGTCAGTGGAAGCAGCAACAACGCCATGGGAGACCACCGTGGATCAGTTTGGCAAGTTCCAGCCAGCTATGTATGAGATGGCTCAAAGCAATGATCCAGGCCAATACGGGCAGCTTGACTGGCAGCTCCAACAATATCACTTGAACAACAACCTGGACCTGTTCAACGGGGTGCAACTGCTCCCACTCGACGGAGGGGTTCCAACCTTGCTAGAGCATTGGGACTGGGAGGGCCTCCACGTTGGAAATCCTAGGCTGTGGGACAGTCCTTCTCCGTTGGCTTCGCCTTGAGCGTTGGTGACAGATATACATGGCGATGCATGGGCGCTGGTTGTCCTGTGCCTGGGGTGTTAGGTCTTGGTCCAGCCAATGGACATGAAGATGAAGCAGAGGGAATGAGTTATTGTTTACAGGATTCTGATTCAGAAGAGGAGGAACCTTGCATTGAAGAGCCGTTAAAGGAGCATCGATCGGGGTATTGTTTTGGATAGAGGCCGCATTAGTACAGGCAAGGAGGATGAATGGTTGCATCAGATTCGTACTTGGTGATTGTGCCTGTTGATTTGTGGAACATTAAAGTTGGAGGAGTGTTGCAAATAGAACAATCAAAGATTTTGGTAAAGGTTGATGGCCCCGACAGTTGAAGGTTGAAGAACTAGAGTGAGATGAGGCCGAGTGTCGAGAGATCAAAGAAGCGCAGTTTCTGCGGTCAGACGGGAAAAAACGTTGGAGCTTGTGCATTGTTCCTTCCTTCGGTAATCGATGGTGAAAGTCTTGGTTCTTCAACGGGACCCAACGGATAGGTAAGTACCTGCCTCTTATGGTATTTGTTTTGTTCAGGAAGGAATACTATGTGTGTCCGAAGATTCTGCAAGTGCACCCCTTAAACTCACCATTCGGAGCACAGCAGGTCCATGCTGGCTGAGGGGGGCCTGAAGTCGCTCAGGTCCGAAGATTTTCGGACAACATCCCATTCGTTTTCCGAGTCAAGAAGTGGGCCGAAGAGATCGCTAAACACCGACTTTTGGAACGACCTGAACAGCGATGAGCGGCCGCCCACAGAATATCGGAACATCGAACAAGAGTTGGGGGCCGTCGGTATCCAGGTCCGCGACAATTACCTCCTTCTTTTGAATGGGGGATCATCCACGTCCTGACATGGAATGTCCGTGCATCGACAAAGTCGCAGGTCCCTCCGGCACTCTTCTCAACAGCAAACACCTGGCTGGGATACTCCCGCCTTTTTGCAACTAAGCTGGCCACAAAAGTATGCTGTGTTCAAATCCGTGTATGCCACAATCATTGTACATTTTCACAGTGATGAGTACGGGAGATGCGAATAATGACTTGAGAGCCCTGAGTTCGGGAGGTACTTTTGTGCACGAGGCGCCCTGACCAATTCGCCCAGAGGTACCTACTAATTGTGAGGACCTGGATCCCGACTCTCGAAGCGGGAGTTTGGTGATAATTCAACCGGCTTTGCATATGATTCACTGTGTCGCCGAGCGGAACCATTCGTGGCAGTGTCCCATTGGAAGCAGCAGTACAGGTCTTTTCAAGGTATGATATGACATTCTGGTGGTGTTCTGTTGGTGGTGAGGGTTGCGTCCTTCAGGCCGATTGCATGTTCGGGCGAGGAGAAACAAAAAACAAGAACAAAAAATGGGAAATATTCCCAAGAACATGTGAAATCAAAGAAACTCTCCAAATAGCCTCCAACACTTTCAAGAAAAGCTTATTCGGGCATGCAAACGTAACAAGGATGGCCCAATGCCCAGGATGTTTTATTCCCCGAGCAGCTTCCGCCGGGTCTGCCGGGCCGTGACGGGAATTTCTATCGAGAGCCTAAAACCGATCCGAAGGTGGGGCACCGTTACAGTGGATAGCTTTTGTCCTTCAGGGCTCCGATCAGGGCATGCCGGAGACGGCGACATATGCCCGCAGAGTCCACACCGGAAGAGGTCTAGAGCTCGCCGGGCTGACCACTTCTGTCCCGTGTCCAAACGGTGAATCTGACGTGACTTCTTCGCCACTTCAATCGACCATGCCGGCCCAGGCCTCAAGAGCAGTTGCCCGACAACTTTGCATCGCTGGTCGACAACGACAACAACCTTTACGCTTGTCGTTCAGAACCCCGGCGGTTCTTTCGTCCGTTCAACAGTCCTGTGGTTTCTCGTCAACAACACCCTTCAAGATGGGCCAGGCAGATGTGCAAAATGCCTGGGTTGGCAGCGCCGGCCCGGGAGGCTTTGATCTCCGCAGTAGGGAATCCCAAAAGAACTGCAAGTCCGAGCTTTCGACTAACGGTTTTCAGGTGATACCATGACAACTCCTACGGCATCCATGCTTGCCGCTATCCAGTCCTGCTCTCTGCTCGACGATGTCACGCAAGAAGATCCCACCACCAGCGACCTTGAGGCCCACTGCGCTGCTTTGTGCGGCAAGGAGGCCGGCCTCCTCGTTTTGTCAGGCACCATGGGCAATCAGCTAGCTATGAGGTCCTTGCTCACCCAACCGCCTCACGGTGTGCTCTGCGATGCCCGCTGCCACATTGTAAAATATGAGGCTGGAGGGTGAGGCTATCTGTGTCTTTCCGTCTTCATCTCTACTCTTACTACCTAGACCAGCCCTAACACGATCTCATAGTGTCTCATCCCTAACGGGCGCCATGCTCAAGCCTGTCTTGCCTAGCAACGGCGTCTACCTTACCCTCGAAGACGTCAAGGCCAACATTAATCTCGATGACGACGTGCACACTTGCCCGACTCGTGTGATTGAGCTCGAGAACACACTCAACGGCATGATCATGCCGCTCTCCGAGGTGCGCCGCATCTCGGCCTTTGCCCGCGAGCATGGGATCAAGATGCACTGCGACGGCGCGCGCTTGTGGGAGGCGGTGGCCTCTGGTGCTGGAAGCCTTGCCGAATTTGCCCAGTGCTTTGACACAATCAGCCTATGCTTCTCCAAGGGCCTTGGAGCACCCATTGGCAGCATGCTGGTAGGCCCCAAGGACGTGATCAAGCATGCCCGGTGGGTAAGAAAGTCGATTGGCGGTGGACTAAGACAGTCGGGCGTGGTGGCCGCTGCTGCGAGGGTTGCCGTTGACGAAACGTTTGGCAAGGGGCCCAATGGCGAAGGCGGCAAGTTGAAGGGAGCGCATATTTTGGCCAAGGAGATCGAGAGGATATGGACGGGCTTGGGCGGCAAGGTTCTTCATCCTGTCGACACCAACATGGTGTGGCTCGATTTGAACGATGCAAAGTGCTCGGTGGAGAGGATGAATGAGCTCGGCAAAGAATCGGGACTCAAGTTATGGGCACCTCGCTTGGTCATCAGCTACCAGGCTTATGAAAACCGTGATCGTGTAATACCCAAGCTGGAGAGCATCTTCGAGACGATCATGCAGGAGAAGACAACAAAGGCGGGAGAAGATTTCCAGGAGGCTGATGGAGAGATATCGCAATATCGGAGCAAATAGAGTACTACGTAATAGCCTCTTGCAATGTCTTTGGAGTTTACCTAATCCAAAGAGTCTAAGTCTTATTACCGTGAACCCCCAGCCCGTTCTCTACATACATCCATAAAAGGGCCGAAAAAAAAACGCTCTTGACTAGGAGGTGTGGGCTTGAAGGCTGAAACTGCCGATGAGCGAATGAGAAGACTCGGGCGCAAGGCACCGTCGGCACCTTCAAAGATCATGATCGTGCGGTGTTTTGTTCAACATGAACCTATTGATACCAAGCACATAGTCGCAAAGGTTGCTTCTTATGTGGCTGGTATCTCTTGTGTATCTCGACTTCCGCATGTCACTGTTGTGACTTGAATTAGCGGATATCTCGTCTTGTTGTGTACATACAAGCGCATAGTCCTTTTCATTGCGCCGACGACGACATGTGCCGTAAATACTGGATGGTTCAAAAAGATGGTTGAAAGTCCCGGGAGTTGAACACACCGGTTGGTTACTACATATTGAATTTGCCGGTGATCAAAAGGGGCGGGTGTTCCTGTCCTGGTGTGATGTTGCGACTGGCAACCTAGTAACCTCAACACCGACTGAACGCCGTTCCCTTTCTCCGCATTGCCCTGGGACTTCCCCGTCTTTCCACCGACAGAGCCCAGGACAGCGGGCCTCAACCCCACATTTGCTTCCCGCAATGGAGATGACCCCACCCTTACCCTCTGAGTACCCACTAAGCTAGCCTGACGTCACTGAGAAAGAGCGAATGACAGCGCCGAGAGGTTGCGGTCAATGAAATGCCGGAGGTAAGGTCAGCCAAGATTATTGGAGTCGATACATACCATAGCGCGCGGGGGGGGTTCTGGAAAATGATCCCCCGGATGATTTTACAGTTGTAAAATATGACAACTGTAAAATGATCGTAGGACAATTTTAGGTATAATTGATAAAAACCATTAAAACCTATTTATACTATATAAATAATCTTTTTATAAATCATTTATTAAGTAGAAATATTTTTATAAGAAATATTTTGTTAAAAATAATGATTCTTTAAATATATTTATCTTTGGCTAAAAAAATGAAATTTATACAAAAATAGTTCTATACTCCAAAATGATTTTGGAAAATGAGTTTGTTTTTTATCTTCAAAATTATCTATTATGAAAATTATATAAATAAAAATTAATCTTTAGGTAAAAGAATTATTTTGATATTAAAATTGAAAATTAATATAATAATTTAGTAAAAGTAAGAGTATTTTATAGTAATATAATAATTATAAAAGCTATAAAAGTAAGAAAAAAAAAGAATTTATATAGTAGATTTCTATAAATATAATTTAGAGGTAGTTTAAATTTTTTTTTTTTAAGTTTTTTTTACAGCTATAAGGTTTTTTTATTTTATTTTTTTTTAATTTTTTTTTTATTTTTTTTTTACATTTAAGACTTTCAATTAGAAATGAAATTATAACTACTTGAAACTTTTCAAATAGAAAAAACTTGCCCTCAACTAGAATCGAACTAATGATCTTAGAAAAGGTAGTAAGAATAAAAACCATTGAGCTACTAGGCTCAATAATTAAAAGAAAGTCTAAATTTCTTTACTTATATAATTAAATAGAGATTAAGTTATAACTGTAAAATTATCTACTAGTTATAGAAAGACGAAAAAACTATTTGAAATATTCAAAGTCTATTTATACAAGTGGGTAGAAGTTAGATTATAACTGTAAGATTTTCTACTAATTATATAAAGATAAGAGAATTATTTAAAATATTTAAAGCTAATAATTATCTTTAATAGTAAAATATTTTATACTTCGTTTAAAATAATCATTCTTTCCAAAATGAATTTCTAACTCAAAGATTATTATTATATAGAAACTGTACTTTGGAAGTTAAATTTTTTTTACACTTTGAAAATAAAATCTATATCAAATTTAACTATAAGGTTTAAAACTAGTTTTAAAAAAAACCATACTAGGGATAATTTTTACAATTATATTATATTATAAATAAGACTACTACTACGAATATGATGATTTCGTTTTTAAGAAGATACTGAGCATTATTTTACAGTAAGAAAATGGACCCTCTACAAGAAAACAGTCCAGTTACATCGAATTGATCCCGCGGATCATTTTTACAGATACCGTGTGCGCGCTATGGTACTCGGACTCTCCGGATGCGGGGAGAATGTGGACTCTCCGTTTTGAAGCTCTTTAACTTCGGGGTTGTTGTTCTACATTTCAATCGGCAGTTGGTGTTCACTTTATTGCTCGTTGCATTTCTGCCCACGCAATTCATGCGCCGAGCCAATTCCGAAAACGCGACAAGAACTCTGCTGAATTATCACGTTCTCCGCGTATTCGGATGACACTAACCCACACACTCTGGTCCGGATGGCCAACTGTTGGTTGTGTCCCTAGGTGTGACAAGCTCTGCAAGAAAGACGAGATGGAAATATTGGTGTTTACTTGACCTAATGTTGCACGGACATGATTTATTGGCTTGTCATCCATAGCGGGAAGCTTTCCATGTTACATGGCATGAGATGCTCAAAAATGTGTGCTTGCTTCCACAACCGTAAAAGGCATTGGGGGACTGAAACACGAGGACAATACCCCTTATACCTACTGCACGTCATGGTTTACTCGGGTTGCTGGATTCAGCAGATGAGACACAAAAAAACACACATTCCTCAGTCTCGTTCCCCAGAAATGCCTCACACGCTGACCAGTCCCACTCGGGATGGGCCCTGGACACAAAGGAAACAATGGAACCTGGAGAAATGCGGAGAGGATCAGCGTCACTTTTTTTTTTCTCTTGGCAAGCTGGGGTGCAGGGAAGCAGGGGAACAAGCGAGACCTCGCCATGCTCGCCTACCTGACCTCGACGCACGTCGATTCTGTTTCCTGAATCAGGGCTGCATGCAGGTTTCCGTTGCATGTATAAGTTGGGCAGATTTACGCAAAAGGAAAGTAGCCTGCTTGCCGCTGACGATGGTGTGGTTTGAAGAGAGCCTTCAGTTCTCAGAGTTGAGCGCCCTGCTCATCGTCGGGTGTAAAAACTACTGGATATGATGTTACACATAGTAATGAAAGTTTGTACTGGGGCTAAGTGGAAAGTTTACCGGGTTGGCAGGCACTCCCCACATCATCGCCATGCTTGTCATCGGTACTTCTTTCCTGTCCTGATCTTCACCACTTGTGGAGTTACAGAAATTGGTGGCGTTCGTTGGACCTGACTGGTTGGGAATCTGGACCAGCTTCTTGTTGTCTTGTGTGTCGGTATAATAAACCTGCTATTCCTCTCCCTTCTCCTCCCCCCCAAAAAAACACTCTTTCCCTTATGGCTAGTTTTGGACTATGAGGTAGTGAGGCCATCGACATTTTCCCGACTTCACACCAACAACAAGCATGGTATCACGATTCCTTGGGGCAACTGTGCCCCTGGCTGCTGCTATTTTGCCTGGAGCCCGCGCGCTGTATGTCAATGGCTCAGTAACGGCTCCATGCGACTCGCCAATCTATTGCTATGGCGAACTTCTACACCAGGTCGAGCTAGCTCGTCCATTCTCCGATTCAAAGACCTTCGTCGATATGTAAGTCTTTGGCCCAACATCTTCTGGTGTATAAGCATTTCATTGACCCAACTTCCTTGTAGGCCCACCATCAAGCCCGTGGATGAGGTGCTCGAAGCTTTCAGCAAGCTAACCCTCCCATTGAGCAACAACTCGGAGCTTCACGAATTCCTCAGCACCTATTTTGGACCCGCTGGTGGCGAGCTTGAAGCAGTACCAACCGACCAGCTCCATGTATCGCCGACATTTCTTGACAATGTCAGTGACGATGTGATCAAGCAATTTGTCGATTCGGTTATCAACATCTGGCCAGACCTCACCAGGAAATACGTTGGCGCGGGCGAATTATGCACGGGATGCGCTGACAGCTTCATCCCCGTCAACCGTACCTTCGTCGTGGCTGGTGGCCGCTTCCGTGAACCCTACTACTGGGACTCGTTCTGGATTCTTGAAGGTCTTCTCCGTACGGGGGGTGCCTTCACCGAGATCTCGAAGAACATCATTGAGAACTTCCTTGACTTGGTGGAGCAGATCGGATTTGTTCCCAACGGAGCAAGACTTTACTACCTTGACCGCTCGCAGCCTCCACTCCTGACGCAGATGGTCAGGATCTATGTTGAACATACTAATGATACAAGCATCCTTGAGAGAGCAGTGCCAGTTCTGAAGAAGGAATGGCAGTGGTGGATGACCAACCGCACTGTCGAAGTCACTGCGGATGGAAAGACATACTCTCTCCAGAGGTGAGTTGAACGAGTGGAAGAACGATCTAGCATGACCTGAGCATGTTTAGCTAACATTCTTTCTCGCAGATACCACGTCGACAACAACCAACCCCGTCCCGAGTCATACCGTGAAGATTACATTACCGCCAACAACAACTCTTATTATGCTACCTCTGGCATCATTTACCCAGAGACAACTCCTCTTAATGATACCCAGAAAGCGCTGCTCTACGCAAACCTCGCCAGTGGCGCCGAGTCAGGATGGGACTACAGTTCTAGATGGCTGAAGAACCCTGGCGACGCTGCCCGCGACGTGTACTTCCCTCTCCGTTCGCTCAACGTCCTCGAAATTGTTCCTGTTGACCTCAACTCGATTCTCTACCAGAATGAGGTCACCATCGGCAAGTTTCTCGCCCAGCAGGGCAACAAGAACGAAGCTGAGGAGTGGGCCAAGAAAGCCGAACAGCGCAGCGAAGCCATGTACAAGCTCATGTGGAACTCGACGCTGTGGAGCTACTTTGATTATAACTTAACATCGTCCTCCCAAAATATCTATGTGCCCGCCGACCCTCAAGCCTTCCCCTTCGAACAGCCCAGCGGCACCCCCGAGGGCCACCAGGTTCTCTTCTCTGTCAACCAGATGTTCCCCTTCTGGACTGGTGCTGCCCCAGACCAGCTTAAAGGCAACCCATTGGCTGTCAAGCTTGCCTTTGAACGGATCAAAAACTTGCTCGACAACAAGGCCGGTGGCATTCCTGCTACCAACTTTGTCACTGGCCAACAGTGGGACGAGCCGAACGTATGGCCACCCCTCATGCATGTCCTCATGGACGGTCTCCTCAACACTCCGGCCACCTTCGGCGAGGATGACCCGGCGTATCAGGAGACACAGACTCTAGCCCTCCGTCTTGCTCAGCGTTACGTCGACTCGACCTTCTGTACCTGGTACGCCACCGGCGGGTCTACATCGGAGACGCCGAAGCTGCAAGGTCTCGGTTCCGACCTCAAGGGCATCATGTTCGAGAAGTACTCTGACAACTCGACCAACGTCGCTGGTAGCGGAGGCGAGTACGAGGTCGTGGAAGGCTTCGGCTGGACCAATGGCGTGCTGATTTGGGCCGCGGACAAGTTTGGTGATAAGCTCAAGAGGCCAGATTGTGGTGATATTACCCCTGCGCAGGTGGGCAAGAGGGCCGACATCACTATGGAGAAGAGGGCGGTTGAGCTGGATGTCTTTGATGCCAAGTTCACAAAGAAGTTCGCCAGGAAGGGGAAGCTTGAGAAGCTGAAGGCCAAGTTCAAGAGGCGCGCCGCTATCTAGTTGGTGGTCTTTAAGCTGAAGAGCAGCATGCTTTATGCTTAGCTTTAATGGACGTTTTTTTTTTTTTTTTCTTTCACTTAATGAAAAATGGAGTCTTGCTTTTGTTTGGGGAGTGGATTAATACAACATCGATCTACGTTATTGTGTTTGCTGGCACTTGTAGCAAGAGATACCATGTACTGATAACATCAAGTCAATTATGGTCCACACACGTACTGATGAGAGCCTCTTACCTCGTTGTATCAATATCCATCCTGTTGCCGAGCGAGATGAGTTGTGAGAACGTCATACGTGCTTATTGTAGTCCAGAAAATCAACCTGTGGCCATACGTCACTTGATTGAATACATGGATGTATGAAGAAAAACATCTAGATGAAAGATAATACCATTACGCTAGTCAATGACTATAACTCTCGTCATTTTCTGCGAAACACGATAGCTAAACACCGAAAAAAAGGGTATAAAACGAAAAGAAAGAGGAAACCGCCAACTGCATGTCTACGCCATATCCGCACCAAGACTATGCCACTCTCTTGCACTAAATGCTTGCTCGTCCTCGTGAGCCTCCATTTCCGCTGTGTATGGGCCCTCCCGTTGTTTCTAGCGCTTCCCGATAGGGTTGTTCTCCCTCTGGTCCTATCATTTTCAAATTCCTCCGTCCCGAATTCTGAAACACGCCTTTTTGGTTGGGCTATCCGCTTCTGTGTCGTGCTTCGACGAAAGGTCCGTGACAGACTCCCCATATGGGTTCCTTATCATCCGCCATGCAGAACCTTGGCTCGGTCCAGGACTGTCCGAGAAGGCACTGTCAAACTGTGACGATGCCGCGCGTTTGCGTCGTTTCGGATGCGGCGGCACTGGCGACTCGTCCTGCTCTGGTGATTCGACCTCCTCATATCGTCATTTCCCTGCGTGTCCGGAGGAATTTCGTTTAGCCGTTCCGTGCTCCATCTTTTTGTTTACACCGGTTGGTGAGTTCACGATACCGTGCTGACAGTGGCGCACGGAACCTGGTAGCTAAATTTGGATCCAACAGCGACTTCCATACGTCCACGGCCCTCGTCTGACTTTGTGAGTCGGTGTCGATGGATGCAAGTATTTTTCGCCATATTCCGCGAAACTCCGAGAGGACATCTTCTCCATACTGGCTTAGCGCAGCTTGCTGTTCCCATTTTCCAAAACCGTTCGGGTAGATGAGGGGCTCTGGTGCCTGAATGAAGCCTTGAGTATGGTCTTGGTTCATATTCGAGACAGTACTCTCAGTGGCAGTACCATTTCTTTCTGTCTTCTTTCGACCACCCAGTTCCTGATCTGGTAGCTTCGCTGTTGTTTCTAGATCCTGGAATGGCTGTACTGCATAGTCGGGACGTGACTTTTCAGGGTCAGCCCCTGAGGCTTGCAGATCAAGGCCAGTTTTCATATAAAGCGTTTCTTCGTCTGCACCAGCGGACAGTGCCCGGCTGCCATGACGACTGTCAGGCTCAGTACTAGTCCTGATTGTCTCTTGTATCACCAGATCCTCCTTCTTAGCGGTGGCTCGGGTTTTCCTAGGTTCAAAGCATGGAGTGACCGTCTTTTTCTCTCCAGAGGGCTGATCGAATCCATTTGGTTTCTTCTGAGCTTGGGGTTGTGTCCGTATGCTACGGCCGCTGTTAGTGTTCCCCCCTCTCTGGTGAATCCTTGGCCTACCACGCCCACGTTTGGGGAGTTGACCGACGCGGCCAGCCTTAGTAGCAGGACCAGTTTCACTCCAATCTGGATCAGCATCAACATTGTCATTATCGACGTGGGCAACAGCGTTCTCATGTGTGCCATGTGTGACAGCGTTGTCATTGTCCACATCTTGCTCCTCCATCTGACGGTCCTCACGACTTTCACCCTTCTAAGGCTCGAGGTGTGACCACTCGGGAATCGCCTTAATTTGCTGCCACATGTACTTCTCGAGCTTGTTGGCGCACTTTGCATATGGGGTGTTCTCGTTGTTGTACTTTCGGCAGTTGTCGAATATGAGCTTGGCGTCCTTGATGAAATCCTCGGGCGTGTTGTATTGATCTTTCTCAAGCTTGTCCTCCATTGTACTCAAGTCCATAGGCTCTTTGATGACATCGTAGTAGTCATGTACCTCGTCCTTGTTAACGGGTACCAGGAAGGGCCAACTACTGGCATGATTCTGTAAATCATTGAGGAGGTGCAGCAGCTGGTTGTAATTTGGCCCGTGGCGTGGCTGACGGGCGAGCTCGTCCATATCTGGGCTCCATCCTGAAGCGCGGATGGCTTCGACTGAAAGAGGATCGATGGGTGTTACGCCGTTTTTCCACTGCTTGGGGGGCTGGTGGACAATGTGGGATTTGCTGTAGGCACGGATCTTGGCCTGAACACACTCCTTCTGCTTGAGGAGCATGCGGCCCATCTCGAGGTAGCGTACTCGTGGAAGCATGCTGCACTGCATGATAGTGCCGCCTTCATAATCCTTGATGTAGCCCATCCATACTGACTTGTCGAGTGTGATTTCCTTTGTGAAGCCTTGTTTCTTGAAGTAGCCAATGGCATAGTTGTCGGCATAGGTGAGGAAGTGCATAACGTCCGAGGTAGCCTTGACATAGTCCTTCAAATGTGACATGAGATGAGCACCGTAGCCCTTGACCTGCTGATCGGAAGAAATGGCGCAAAAGACGATTTCGGCGAACTGGCGGCCCTTGAATGGTCGGTATGTGATGCCACCCACTACCTCGAGCGGCTTTTTGACGATGGCGATCGACAAATGGGTCCGGTCGTAGACAAGGCGGGCGATGTAGTCTTTGGGCATCTTGGGTAATTGTTTCTGGAAGATGCACTTGAGACCGGTGAGAATGATCAGACTTTCGCGTTCGCCATCGTTGTTGACCACACGGAATTCGATTTCGCCATCGCGTTCTTCGATAACGGCGGCCTTTTCTGGGAAGGGAATAGCGGGGATTTTTGGCTTCTTGGTGTCCTCATTCTCCTCGTTCGAGTCGCTATGTTTGATTCGCTTCGCCGATGAGGGAGAGGTAGGCTCCTCGGTAGCCTTGCGCTTGGTATCTGTAGACATTTCGAACAAAGTGTCAGTGGTTCCGTGGGTGCGGGGGGGGGGGGGGGAGGGCTTGACCGATCGAGGGGCATTGTGGCAAGAGGGGTGATGGGAGACTGACTTTCTTCCTTCATTTTGATGTTGTACGGCAGGGCCGTGACGGAATTAGCGGGCATATCCGCCTCGGCTGAGCACCGGTCGATGTTTGAATGTGCTCGCAATTGATGAATTGATGATGGATGATGTGGTTGCTTTGATGCGAAGTGTGACCGCGTCGGGGGACGTGTGGTGGAGCGGTGGATGCGGAGCGGCAGCGGACCATTCCGTCAAGGTGGAAACAGCAGGGCTGACTAACAGGGGTTGACATTCGCGGGCGGGACCAAGCTCGATCCACGCTAAACCATTTTCGGCTCCGAACACGTTCACCTCACTGCAGCGCTGTCCACTGTCAGGTCCCCGTCCGTCTGTGTGTTGGAGCTTCAGCTTCCATTGATCGGGGGAAGCTCTCAGCGAACTCCCGTCTGAATCTTGAATCTTCGTTGTCCATGTGCCCTTGGATGTCCAGATCCTGAGCTTCAGCTTGATTCGTACAATCTCCTACTCTCCTCAATTACCAATTGTTTCCCAGACTAAATGGATTCACCATTGATCGAGGTCTGGCACGCCGCGTCTGGCAGCCCGTTTCTTCCCACTGTTGGCAAAGGCACACAGTTCTTCGTTGCTTCCCTCCTCCTCCTCATCGGCTTTAGTTTGACTGGCGCCTTTACTCTCAGTATGTGATTCCGTTGCAACCTCGATGAATCTTGGTTTGATTCTGTGCTGACCTGGGACCACCTCTTAGACCGGTCCATCGTCAATCTACTTCTCTTGGGCATCCCGGCTTCTTTGGCCTTTGCGTACGTTTCCGTTGTGCTTCGAGTTTCGGCTGACTTCCACTGGACCATGCATCTTCCAATCCGCCATTCTTTCATCCCGGACTTTATCGCTGACCATTACTGGGCGCAGATTCGGTGTTGTTTACATGTTCTGCGCGGTCGGAGTTTACGTTTAATATCGAGATACCCTGGAGATCAATAAAAGAAGAAGAAGAAGAAGAGAGCAGTCTCCTCGCCCTACGGACTCCGCGGGATTCTGTACAATACATAGAGTCATTTACCAAAAAGCAAGCCGATTTCTGAACATCATACGCATCACACGCCATCTTTTCCTTTACACTTATAACACACATCTTCGGCATCACTTGCCAGCAACATGTCACAACCGACTCAAGACGCCGGCCCTCCCTTGTTCAGGGCAGTCGCCAGCTCCACGCGCCCGCTCTACCAGCTACTGAAAGCAGTCGGCTTTACCAACAAGATCCACGTCGAAATCACCCCCGAGGGCCTCAGATTCAGCGCCGATCATGCCCGCGTCATGCAAGGCGCCGCCCACTGGAACAAGAACCTCTTCGCCAGCTACACCACCAACCTCCCGCCAGCTGCGGGTAATGGCGATGACGACGACCCCGAACCCGAGCCCGTCTCCTTCCAAATCTCCCTCCCCGCCTTTCTCGAGACTCTCCAAATCTTCGGCGTCGCCGATGTCGCCGCCCGCCAAGCCCGCTCCGACATCGACCCCCTCGTGCGCGGCAACCCGCGCATGAACCACCAGCACCGCGGCGGTAATGGATCAGACGCCTTCAGCCACCACACCTTGCACGGCGGCGGGTTCGCCTCCTCTTCCAACGGCACCTGCATCCTCAGCTACCCCTCCGACGGCGGGCCGTTCAGCATCATTCTCGAAGAAGCCGGGGTCAAGACGACCTGCAACTTGACCACCTACCTACCCGAGATGCCGGAGGATATACCCTTTGATATCGACGACCTCTCCTTCAAGGTGATCATGCAAGCGCGCTACTTGCTCGACGCGTTGGCGGAGGTGGGCAGCATCAACCCGGAGCGGCTGACGATTGTGGTCTCGCGCAAGGAGCCATATCTGCGGTTCAGAACGTCCGGAAGCCACAGTGGTGCGGGAGGGCCGGGGGTGGAGAGCACGGTGGATTTTAGGCGTGGAAGGGATCTGTTGGAGACATTCTCGGTCAGGGCGGTGGAACGGGCTAAAGGAGAGAGGAGATGGAGCCAGACATTCAAGTTTGACACGATCAAGGCAGCGACGGAGGCAATGAGGATTGCGAGCAAGGTTAGCTTGAGGGGTGATGGGCAGGGTGTGTTGAGCATGCAGTTTATGGTGGAGGTGGAAGGTGCTGGGGGTGCGGGCGGGGGTGTCCCGGGAGGAGGAGCTGGTTTGAGTTTCTTGGATTTTCGGTTCGTGCCGTATGCAACGGATGGGAATGAGGAGACCGATACTGAAGGGGAGGGTAATGATGTTGACATGAATGAGGCATGAGGTTTCGTAGATAAAAAGTGTCAGTGATGCGTGGTGATATTCAAATCGAGGTTATACCTATGTACTTGGTTGAGCGTTACCAAATGTCGCAGGATCTAGTAGTATACATCAGTTGCGCGTCGGAAGCAGCCCACTTATTTATCTCGCGACGGTTTTTTCGCGAAAGGTGAACACGCACCTCTGATGGTCATATTATCCGAAGCTATTATACCCCCTAATGAACATATGGTGGGTGATTAAGGAGTCAGGTCAACCTTGGGTAAATATGGACCAGACGAATGGATGTCTCCTGTCGTTGATGTACGCACAGTATGTTCTTGCGATAGTAATATTGATTCAATTACCAGATGAACAAGTAGATATGATGTGTACACTCTGCAAGAAATAGTTTTGATCGTTTGGTGCGGAGGAGAGAAATTGGGTATTTTCTCTTATGATATAGATTAACTAAAAAAAGTGGTATCATGAAAGAGAGTTGCAGCAAAATCCAATGTGCAAGTGCAAGAAGATAACCTCACAAACCCCAGTCCAGTACTAGCCAGAAACACCAACGCCATAAGCCAAGTATCTCACCGTCCCCTCATATTTCCTTTTTTTGTTCCCCTAGACATTCCATGCACCGACACACAATCCAATCAAATCAATCAAATCAATCAATCAATCAATCTTCCACGCAACATGTTCCGCCTCCCACTTCAAGAAATCCCCCAAGTCATGATCCAAATTGAACCCCATCGGAATCACGTACTCCTGGCCATTCACGTCCCTTGACACCACCATGTTGAGTGCCGGGCTCTGCGGCAGGCTTTTTATACTTTCTTGCGACTCGGCGCGGCGGTGGTGGTGGCGAGACCCTTGAGGTTGTTGTTGTTGCTTCCAAGTGCGGGCGCGGGCCGCATCGATTGCTTGAGGAATTTTCTTGGCTGTTTGCTTTGTCGGTTGTGGGGGTGGTGGTGCTTGTGCTTGTGCTTGTTGATCTTGTTGGGTTGTTGCTGGGACAATCGACGATGGAATGACTGTTTGTTGCTCGTATTGGAAAGCAAAACCTGGAAGAAAGGGGGATTCGGATCGAAGAATGGTTGGTGACGGGAATCGTGAGGATGGTGGCGCAAGGGAGGATTGTTGTTGTTGGACTTGATGTTGTGGCGTCCCGTGTCTTTGGGTATGTGGTGGTTGGGACCGGGATAAAGTCTTTGTTAGTGGTGACGTTCGCAGCGTTGGTGATTGATTGCGGTTAATTGAGGTTGGAACCGGGGTGTTATTGGTGTTGGTGTTGTTGTTGGCAGCATCGCTTGAACTGCGACCGCGGCTATGATCCCAGCGAACGGTAGGATCGGATGTTAGCGCTGAGAAAGGTGGCGGCGAGTGACTCCAACTTTGGCTGTGAGTGTGACCATAGGGAGTGTTGGTCGCTGGCTTCTCGGGATGGTCCCTCCTCGACTGACGATCGATAGGCCAGGTTGAGGAATGTGTTTCTTGTGATGTCCAGAGCAAAAAGTGTGGTTGCTGCGTCTGATGAGCAGCAATGTGAGTTGCAAGGGCACGGAAAGGAAGTTGATCGTTGACGCTCGCCGACCGCTCATGAGAATGTTTTCGGTCCCTGTCGGATGCTTGCAAATGCTGGATCCGGTATAGTTCATTCATGGTGGGAGCTCTGCCTTTGATGTCGCTGTCTGGAGGTTCTGGTGAGTCCATGTTCAAGAAGCTACCTGAACTGGCGGACCTTGCATGTAAGGGGGCATTTTCTTGTTTGTGCTTCCTGACTTCAATCTCCTCTTCGGCGGTCTGAAAGGTCCTCAACGCACCATACCCATCAAAGCCGAAACCGGAGAACCACGCAATGATATCGTCTCGCTCATTAAGCTCAGCTCCCGAAGGCCGCGAGTAGTCAAGCGGGTCACTGTCGAAGTCGCCGATACCGCTTCCTATCGAGATTTGGAAGGCTACCCAGTCAAGGCCATCTTCAGCATTGGCAGCGAGCAGGTTAGTGGGAGGCTCGGGCTTGGGCAGTCGGATTGGTCCGTGACGGAAGGATGGCATCGTCACAGTGTATGGGGTACTTTTGAGAAAAATGAAGTCGTCATTGCTGGTATCGGAGCCAAATCCAGGCGACGAGGTAGACGTAGGTGTCATGATCGAACTGGTGATGCCCTCGGGAATAGTCGGAAGGGGCGGTAGTTGCCTGGATGGAGTGCGCCGCGGTACAGGTTTAATGGGGCCATCAATGGAAGGTGTGAGATGAGCGACACTCGAGGGTATAGGAGGATGTTGAGCTTCTTCTCCTTTGCGGCGAAACATAATGGGTAGACTGTGTTCCTTTCCATTCTTCGCCAAGGCAATGGGAGGACTTCTCGGCCGGTTCTGTTTCTGCCCATCATCTCGTGACTGTTCCTTTGGTGTTGCGCAATCATCTCTAGTGCTCTCGCTGTGATCAGATAAAGAGGGTCGTGCCGTTGCAAGTGAGAGAGTTGCCGAAGCGACAGGCAGACTCACACCGGCATTATCGATCCGTGTCGGCAAATCGTCGAGGTGGAACGGTTCGATAGGCGTAATGGGCTGTTGAGATGGTTGATCCCCTTCTTGACCGGTTGCCGTCACCTCATCATTCATCGTTGATTGGGCTACACAAGCTCTGTCCATTATTCCCTGCAAGATGCTCTCCGGCAGCACCTCATCCGCTTCGATAGGATTGAAAAGTTGGAAGAAATGTCGGGCAGTGTCTGGTATCACCCATTTTGATACTTGTGTGCTGGCTATGCGCGGTCGCCTGGGGGATTTCTTTGACTTCTTTCTCTTTGTTCTGCTGGTCGAAGCAAACCTTGCCGGACTTGTGAGCAGAAAGGATCTTTTGGAAGGCTGTGTGAAGGATTGCAATGACGCCTGACTTCTTCTCCGCGCTTTATTCCACTGGGAGGGACTATGCACTGGCGTCAAAGGCTTTGTGTGATTTGCCGAGTAATATGTTATCGGTGGGATCACAAGCGGCGGTAACGGCTGCTTTATTTCGATTGGGGACCGTTCTGGCTGGAATGCCCTATCCATCTCCGAACTGAGCTGCTGGATGTCGTTCGAATATCCATTGCTTGGTAAACGATGTTGCTCTGCGGAGCCGGTGTAGCCTTCGGCAATCTCATCTGTATAGATGGATTGATGGTTGACCCCCAAGCCAATCAAGGTAATATCTGGTTGACGAATCGTGAGATCTCGGCCCCGCTCGTCTTGTTGCGGAGGAGGCGAAGGCGGCAGAAGAACAATTTGGTGTAACTCTTGTGTACTTGGTGTTCGGGGAGGCGTCGGTTCGCTTCTTTCTTGGGCTTGCTGTGGCTGGTGCTCGAGGTGCCCAGGACAAAGAAGTGGACTCCTCTGAGGACTTTGGCCTCCGACACGCTGGAAAGAACATTGAGGACTCGTGTAGTCTGTGCTATAGCCGCAGCTTGACAAAGAAGACCTTGAGGAGAGCGGAGTGTTGGGAACATGAAGGGGTGGGATAATTGTAAGTATTTTGTGAAGGTCCTCCTTCTTCGGGACGTCGAGGTCAAGTTTTGAACCCCTTCGAAGACCCCATGGCCTTGTTTTAAGCTCTCTGTAGATTGACCTGTAGCCTTCATCGTCGTGGTGAAAGTAAGAGCCCTCGTATTCGCCGACAGAAAGGGTTTTGCGCGGAGAGACAAGCTTTCGAATTGTGGATCCTGGCTTTGAGAGCATCTTAGCCGAACTCCCCGGGCATGACGGAAGAAAATAAAAAGACTAGGGTAGAAGTGTGAGCTTATTTTTGCATAAAGGTACAGCGTGTATAAAGGGTGAAGCAACCTGACAGAAAATGTCAGTGTCGAAAGGCGTTGTGTATTGCTTTGCAGAGGTATGGAACTCTCAGCTAACGGTATGATGACACTAGCAAAAAGGCGAAGGACATTGAGCCCAAAAAAACAAAACAAAAAGAAGAGGCATGAGGAGGCGAGTGATATGATATTATTCGCAAGTGTCCGCCCTAACGGCAGCATCGGAATGCTGGGGCACGGCACCTTTGTCGATATGTGTTGTACGACCCGTACAGATTACGGCTGACCCGCGTGGTTGGGTTGGTCTTCGCATTTGCAAGGGGGGCAACTAGAAGTGATGGACGCCTGAGAGACGGATAAAGTAAGTAACATGAAGGAATTCCTGTACCGAGTGTGGCGTAGTCACGCAACGTCATACTCTATCATCACTCATTGCACAGCAAACTTGTGCAGAGTGCCGAGTTCAGAGAGCAATGGTTGTGGTGTTTGTATCCGCCCGGTAAGTTATCCGCGGGCAAGGGATGAGAATGTGACATTTTCGGGTCAACATCCACGTTGGCCGTAGATATTGCCTCGACTGGCGTCCCAGGTGGTTGTTATCCAGCGACCAGCTGTGGCTTTTTTTTTCCGAGGGTGTTGGATGTTGTTTGTGGATCGTTCCAAACTGAAGCATCCCCGGTCAACTCGACCCCCCTGGCTCAGGCTCTCCAACCCCAGAACTACATACATGGTCCCCTTGAACACCCCATCCGAAGATTTGCCCTAGGCCCAGGGTAGTGATGCCATTGGCCAACAGGGCTGCAAGCTTCTATTTTGGCCCCCCTTCAGTAACTCAAATAGACATACGGTAGCGTTGCAGCCGGCATTATATACTACATCCCGTCGACACCTACCCGCCCAAGGTCGAGGACGACATTGTCCTTTGCAGCATTTGCGACCCCCAAATGGTAACCTACGACACAGCCAGATTACGCACACTACTTTTGGCATGATTGTAGAATGCGCAGATTGAATGGAGGGAGCAATGGAAGAGGACCTGCAAAATGCACACTGCTTGGAGCCAGCCGTCCACCCAACTGAGGTCCAGGTCAGTGTTTGGGGCAGCACTCACCCAGGTATGGCGAACCGTGCATAGGGCTACTAATTCATCCAGCTTGACGGTAAAGCAGTGGACGAGTTTGTGGGTTTGCACAACAGCGGCAACCAACGTTAGCACAGCCATTATATCGATAGAGCGGGCCTCCGTAGGTTGCTGTGTTGCCAACGGTTGACAGGACTCGGCCGCATTTCTTCACTCGATGCCGACTGGACTGGACCATGTGCCCCACTGACGAATAAAAGACCTTGGCTATGGATGTCAGTGTCAACCACAGGTGTGTTCCGTAGCACAGATCCAGATGCTTGTCTGGACACCTTCCTCTGGCCATATTCGCTTCGTATGGTTCTCGAAAATGGAGGGAGGGGAAGGCCACATATTTTATTCGCCTTAAGAGGTGGCGCTCTTGACCGTTGAACACGTTGTTAGAAAGGCGCATAGGGTATGATAGCGAGGGCGCAGCATGGCCAAGTCTCTCACCCACCAGTCATGATGGCTGAGATCTAGAGTAACACTTCGGGATCCCTCCGTCAAAGGAAGAAAAAGAAGAGGAAGAATGCCTTCAGGCCTCCTCTGGACTGGCTGTCTGGCGTCGCACCACCACTTGAAGGGGGTTCAGTATCATCATGAAGCAGCCCGTATTGTCATTTGTCAAAAGTCGTGAAGCGAGTTATTCATCAAATAGGCAACTGCTGTCAAGGCCAGATACACAGTCTAGTTGGCGCAAAGCGCTGAGTTGCGGCGTCCAGTCTCAGCAGGGATTGGGGGTGTGCTCGATTAGTCAGGTCCTCTCCTGAGGGGTGTTGTCCTGTCGGCAGCAGACCGAAAGAAGTGTGTATGGGCTGGTGTATGGTGGAGCCTGAAAGGTCCTGATCACGCGGAGATGAGGTCGGCCGATGCGGGGGATGAAGATGACGGTCGGGGGAAGGGATGAGATGGGTGCCGACCCGGACGAGAGCCCGAACTGAACTGCCCCTGGGTGGGGCACAGGGATGATGGGACGGGAACGGCAGTCACGGCCCGCCTGAAACAACAAGCACCAACAGTGCTGAAAGGGTCCAAACCCCACCGAATGGAAGTGGAACTGCCTCTGAGCCGCTACACAACGGGCGGATTGCCGGATGCCGTGCGCTAAAACCATCGAGAACCTCAAAACCCGGTACGAACACCTGGCTCCTGTGAGGACTCGGAGTTCGGGTCCTTCCCCTCCATCCTCCCTCGCCTTCCACTTGTCACTTTTTCTCCTCCATCACATCGATCAGCTGCATCCCGCTCTTTCTCACATACATGTTCACTGAACCACCATCGTCGTATTGGACAACATCTGTGGGATTTGAAAGAGGAATGGATCAGCTTCCTTAAATTAACAACAAGCATCGACACATCAAGCCCACCGACTCTGTACGACGTCGATACCGCACGCATGCGAGATTGAGAACTGTCACCAACGCCATCAATGTCCTCCCCTTGCCCTGCCGAAACCATTACAACTTAAATCAAGCATAGCATCATGGTCCTTGACATATGCTCCTGGATTGCCGCGCTTGTACAGCCGCGCCGCTTCACTGGTGCTACTCTCTGCGGCTACCACCACCAACCACAACACTATTGGTGCTGCGCCACGCTTATCACCACCATCACTGCCCCTCCCAACTCGGATATGATTCAGAAGCTTACATAGAGCCTCTCGAGAGCACCACAAAGCCGATGTGCAGATACGGGAACGGCCATGTTGACGTGCAGTTCCGGGTGTTGCGCTAAAGCCAGGGGACACCCCGTGGTGCTGTGGTTCTGACTACTAGACTTACCTACTCACTGCTCAGCTAGGTATACGACCGACCGGCTTCGGACTATCTACTCCTTGACCTGAGCGCCCGTTTCCATCGACATTTCCGAGCCCTTCGAGAGCTCTTCGAGACCCCATGGCCCCCATACACCTATTCTCTACGGTGAACTCGCTTCACCTGATCAGCTCGGCGACTTCTGATATGGCGGTTGAGTTGTCGTGGGGGTTTCCATCATGTTGATGGGACAACGGGTCCTATCTCTTGTTTCGAAAATATGGGCCTCTTAAGCCATCACCGAGGGCTTTCGGCGGGCACGGCTTCGATTTACAGTTGGCCCTTATCAATGAGGTCAGCCTGAACAACTTCCCTAGTACGCTTCAGTATCTCGAGCGGTGCTTGAACAAATTCCCACGTGCTTTGGGGGCAAAGCTGTTTCACGCAAGGTCGAAGAGATTGACATGAGGCTCATCCCCTCTACTTATTTGGAAATCATCTCGACAGTGACGAGTGTCGCCCTTTGATCTGAGCAACTGCGCCTCGAGTCTTCTATTGCCTTGGGGTCTAAGAGTTGGGATACCATCACCACCATCACCTGCTTGAGTCGTGTTTCCGCTTCCAATCGAACCATATTCCCCCTACAACGGGTCCGATACTCCCCGATCACATCTTTCCACCAATCACGAAACTGAAAACTCGCCGTCCTCCATTTACCGTCATATGTTGGACCAGGTCGCTTGAAGTCTCTCGCCTCCTGTGACTCGGCCTGGGCGGACTCACTCGGCGCTCGCCCAGTTTCCGCGCAGAATAGCATTCTGACCCAGGCTTGTTGTGTGGAACCAAACCCGAGGCGGTGTCTCGTGCTTGAGAGTGTAGCCTGCCTCGTCAACATCGTGCTCCACAGAAGATGCCTAAGGTCTGCCCCCAGTCAGCCCGTTGTACCTTCAAAAGAGCCTTGCTCATTACTTCACGAACAAGTTGCGCCTCAGCTGAAACATACCTTTCGCGCCTTGCCCATTGATATGGTCAAAGGACTTCATTTGACCGGTCCATGTTTCTCGTCCTGGTTGTCTTGAGATGCGAAGCGGCTGCGTGGGTCGGCGTATGGACATATTTTTTGCCTGGTGTCTCTGCCACGGGTTTGGATTCTTTGGATGATCGACTCAAACAGCGCGTCAGTGATTCGACCGAGCTCTCGAACAAGCTAAGTGGCGAGCGTGTTGGTTTTGTTTTCGACTGTGCCTCCCTTCCACCTCTCTCCAAGTCGTCCTTGTTGTCGCCCGGCATGTTCTCGAGTATGGTAAAGCAATTGGGAGCAGGAACGAGAAATGAAATTGTGAAGCGGCAAGCGAGCTGTTGATATATCAGCTCTCTTCTCCCTTGCAGGAATTTGGGGGGACTTGTGAATGCAGCAGGTGAGACCATGGACGAGAAGATCACTTAACCTCCACGACGCGTCTACACTGTATGGTACATTCCCTTCCAAGGCCTCCCGCGGTTCACACCAGATGGTGTCTTGGCAGTGCAGCCCTAGTTCAATGAGATCGGTCATGATAACACCACGACGACCTCGCTCTTCGAGCTAATGTACTGGGTTGCGAGCAAAAGTAAGACCTCCAATTTTCAGATACCTTGCACGGTCCACCACAGCCAAAGCTTCGTGGGCACTGTGTCTTCAACGACCTGACTACGGGTATAAACTTACCCACAACACCGTATTACGTCTCACGGATCGTCAGAACTTGAGCTGCAGCATATCGCCGATTGCTTAGAACCTGTCAGATTCATCTGAAAAGGCTGTCGTCGTTGCAGGACAAACGATAAACCGAATGGAGTTATTCCTCCATAAGTGGCTCGGAAACCCCCTCCGAAATTTGATGGGCAATCGTTTTACTCATCCTCGATGTTGTATTGGTAGCCCCAAGTACCAGACCTGACCGCTTCTCATTCCAGAATCGCCGGCTGAGTGGATGACACCCTCGACACCAATAGTTTTGATAGGTAATCAGCTTTGACAGCTTCGGCTTGGTGGTGTGGCACGCCGCCTTATAAGCCCACAAAACCCTCCAACCTATTATGAACGACTTCGGTTGCTAACGTTCGCTAACGCTGCCGCCTCTGGGGAGTTTGTGCTTTTGGTGGTGTCCTGGGCAACTGGTTCGAGAGGCGTTCTATGGGCCCATGGGGAGGGCACGACAGGTAGCCACCGGGTGGCTTAAGAGAGGGCCTAGAGCCGCACATGCAATATTTCGGAATATCCGTCACCACTTCTACCCTCCTTCATTCGTCTTTTTCACGACTGAGGTTGTCCTCGTGACAGTGCGCGGCATCCATGAGCGAGATTGAGGCGGCAGCTGGATCGTTCATGATCAGGCAGAAGGGCTATGGAGCGTACAGTTTTGTTCGCTGTTCAAGTCCACAGAGGCTGATGAGCGAAATACTGACCGTACATTTCACCTGGACTGTCTAATACCGACTGAGCCGGCTGAGACCGAAATTGAGCGTCGGCTTTTGGTCCTTTAGGCCGCCATATCTAGTGGAACACGAGGAATTAGGGAGCAACACTCCATGGTACATACTGACGATAAGAAGATTCTATTCCTTGTCCTTTGGAAGTCTTTCAATCCAATTAGTCTAGGAACGAACGTCCATTTGGCTAAGGGTTGGCGTTCCACAACACGATCTAGACCTCACGCCTCTATGTGAGAAACCTTGAGCTTGATTGGACAATTGTTCGACCTCTATGAAGAAAATCAGAGATTACTTCTTCATAGTACTCGACTGGTTGACAACGCTCTATCATTGAAAAGGCCATCAATTCAGCTAACTCAGCCAGCCTCATCAACGGTTTGTGTGACGACTTTGGCCAAGCAGCAAGCCGCTCGCTTCACTGTGCTGATACGTTAGTCCATTGGTACGTCGATACGTTAAACGTACCAGCCTATCGGCGCGTGCGAATGGTGGACATCAGCATTGAGGGGGGAAAGGGAAGGATTCGCCGGAAGGTGAAGGCAAGATGAACAAACATCGATGTTACATGTAGTAAGTGGCGAATCAGACCGTCAGGTCAATCATTGACTTCCTTCCCCAGACTGACGGTCGAAGAGTATATACAAGAAAGAGCGATGGAGAGTAAATTGATGCAACGGATGGCATATCCAATGGAAATTTTATCATGCTGAACGTTGGTTCAGAGAGAAACCTGGTGGCTAGGCTAGCTATGCACATATCGTATGTGACTGGTTAATCAGGGGTAAGCAAAGACTTTGAATTCGAATTCCATTGGGGTTGTGTATGTTTTTCAAGATGTTGGTGGATGACTTGGGAGGAAATGTATGTGAGGAGGGACGAGCTCATGTGGAGAGAGCGAGAGAAAAAAAAATGAAAAACAGAAAAGAAAGAAGTCTCAAGTGATGGAAACCTAGATAACATCACTAACGGTGCTAATTTGCTGAGTACGGCCAAACTACTCATCACCTGTCGAAAATTCTTTCCTTGGACATCATCACGTACGTATCTATCTCAGCGAAACAAATGGCTAATCTATCAGATCTTGCTCAATTGCGCAACTCCCAAAGAAAAGCACAACAATGCAAGCACCGTCCAGAGCATTCAAGGTAGACAAAAGGACAACAAGAACAACAAGAGTTTAGCGAAGAGTGGGTTTGGATGGGCTGTTAGCGGATAATATGTATTCCCTGCTGCCGACCGATGGTATGTATGGTATATACTTGTATGCACTTCTGCTTTTGCAAGATCCAAGATTACTTTGTTCACTGCGTCCTTCCTTCCGTCTGCTTTCCATTTTCTACACAACGCATCTCACTACCACAAGGACACCTCACCCACCCACCCGTCTTCAATTGTTCCTCCCTTCTGCGAGTACCAGCTGGTGACTACAGTACGTACTTAGCAAGCACGATCCGGTAACACACGATTCCAACTAGGTAGGTGGTCCTCCTTGTTGCTACCGAACTATTCAACTTCTTCCAAACCCCATTACACATACCCTGGCGTGCTTTCTTGCACCCTCTCTTTCCTTCCAACGATTTCCTGGCACTTCCTCTCTTGGTACTCGTGTGCTCTGTATGATTATCCCTTGGAGATCTTCATCCCCGAGCATTGGCCTAGTAGTCGTGTACGCTACTTTTCCCAGGCGTGCTCGTCTAGGTTCAAGCGTGTGACGGTACGGAGACTTGCGGTATTGAGAATACCCCGTCTCACAAAAAACAACCATTACAATGACTGAGCGTGGAACTTCGCTGATTTAGTCCCATTGCCTTGCGCTTGTAGTAGCAATGGAATGAAGCTAGAGATGATTGAATTCAATGAACCGTCAAACTGAAGCTTCGCAGCAGCAACCTAGTTCCCAATCCATCCGCCCATCACTATGGCTCTCTATCGTACTTGAGAACCAACTCTTCGATCTTGGGTATCAACTCGGGTAGTCTAAACGGTTTGGAAATGACGTCATCCTACACAGAATAAAAATTTCGGTTAGCGGGATTCCTCGCTCTTTCCTTACTCCCGGAAAAAAAGAATACTGATCATTAACAGAGGAGGAGGAAGGGGAGAAAAAAAAAGAGAGGAAGAGAGAGAGCTTACCACACCAGCGGCCCTGGCACTTTCGACCTGCTCAGGCCGTGCGTACGCAGTGACGGCAATAATGGGAATATGCCGCGTAATGACGCCCACTTTTTCTAGACGACGAATTTCGCGGGTGCAGCTCATTCCGTCCATGACTGGCATCTCGAGGTCCATGAGGATGACAGAAATATTGTTGTTGCTGTTTTCTTCACCATCAGGCGAGCCATCAGTTCCGCCATCGTTTGCGGCCTTCTTGTTGCTCCTCGGGAGCGCTGATGCAGCATCGTCCGTCGCAGCGATCTCCTTATTCCAGAAGCGTGACTTTCGCAACTCCACCAAGGCCTCTCTGCCATGGTTGGCCACGAACGTGTTATTGCCCGACAGTTGCAACTGACGCTGCAAGACTCTCTGGTTCACCAAATTATCTTCGACAATGAGGACGTCTGGGGATTTTGTCTGGGTGGTATCGGCGATAACGGGAGCGGATTGTGTTCTAGTAGGTGGCGCATGTGATCGGCCGTGTCCGAGCAGAGAGAATGCGGCTGATGATGATGACCGGTGGCTGATCTGACCCTGTGTTTGGGGATTGACACGCTGCTGAAGTGGCTGGATGGACATCGAGTTGTCGACAACAGTCGGAACCGGCTGCGGGTTCTCCGCTTTACGACTCTTGACATAGAAAGCAAACGTGCTTCCCTCGCCCTTCTCCGAATAGACTCCAATCTGTCCGCCTTGCAACTCGGTTAGTATCCTGCAGATGAAGAGACCTAGGCCAGAGCCGCCGTATTGGACGTGTGTTCGGGGGCTAGTCTGAGAAAATCGCTGGAAGAGGATCTTCTTCTCATTCTCATCTAAGCCCGGGCCGGTGTCTGAAACTGCCAAATGCAGGTTGATCTTCTCGCCGGTGGCCCACTCTGCGTCGTCCGTAAGATCCTCTTGGTCTGGATGCCGTGGTGGAAAATACGAAAGCCCGGCCGATGACACATCCTTTGAAGCACCCAGGTTAATGGTAATTGCCCGTGTTGGTCGGCCTTGGGTGAACTTGATGGCGTTAGTCATCAGATTAATGAGGACCTGTTTTAGGCGTGATGGGTCCAACTTCACCCAGTCAATTTCCAGATTGCGATAGGACTGCTCGATCTGGAAATGACCCGTGATATCATTGGAATTGAGTTCGGCTTCAAACATCTTCAAAACTTCCTCCACAACCTGAACTGGCTGAACATCGACTGGTGTCACAAGCAGGAGCTGCGAGTCAAGTTTCGAGAGAGTCAAGATGTCGTCGACGATTCGCTTTTGGTGGCTGGCGCAGAGGGAAATGGTGTTGGCAGCTTCCAGGCAGCTATCAACCAACGTCTCCAAAGTGTCGGGCCCTCGGAACGCCGGATTCTCTTGTCGAAACCTGTTAAGTCCCGAGGCGATTTCGTCGGC